GTGTTGCCCAGCGGCTCCACGTCTAGTGCCTTGCACATCTTGCTGAAGTACGTGATGCGCTGTTTCTCGTTCGCCGTGTTAGGAGCGTTCGGACCACACTCAAGCGCACCGTTGATGATACGGGTCGATTCAGCAAAACCATTAACACCAGCGACGACGTCGTGAATGACGCGACCGCCCTGCGGAGTCATCCAGTACCAGAGTGCAGTCATCCACGTCACCGCCGTGTCGTTCGCGACGATGTCCGGGTTGTTCAGGAGGTCAATGCCCAGAGCGTTACCGGCATTGTAGTAGTTGTAGTTCCACGAGAGCTGAATGGGGCCGCGGCCGTGGTAGCGACGGCCAGGAGCACACGGGTAGGTGGTATTATCACAGTATTGCCACACCGTGTAGGTGTTGCGGGCGTACTCCTCCGCTGCCTTGAAGTTGTCGCTCTCGTGAGCCGTTTGAGCCAGGAAGGCCGCCAACTCGCGCTTGTCATTAGTGTCGTTGCCTGTGTTGGCGAACGTGGTGTACTTGTTGGCTGCGTTCACGAGACCGTCGAAGTTGTAGAGCTCCACAGCATCCGGGAACATCTCGTGGAAACGCTCCTGGTCGAAGAAGCGAGCGAAACTCGAACTTCCAGCTCCACTGGACGAAGGGACCGTCGCAGCCGGCGTCACGGCCGGAGGGGTCGTGCATGGCGTCGACTGCTGCGTTGGTGACTGGACAACTTCACCGGAACCAGCAGAAGCCATGCCCAGAAAGCCCATTGACGCGATAACTCCGGCAAACTTCATGATTGACTCGGATTGGTTGGTTGTGGTAGTTGCTTGAGCTGTTGGAGGCAAGATCGAAAATGAGGATCGCTACGCAGTGCTCGGCCACGGAAAAGCCTGTGACTTCATCCGTGCAGTCGGGATAGAGTTCCTACGCCTTGAAAATAGTTGAGGCCACAAGCTCACCATCCGGGCGTACATTCGCGAAGTCACATGGCAAAAAAATTAGTGACATCCGCAAATCGCTATCGCCTGTATTCGTGGTGAATTTCATCGGCGATCCACCAGAAAAGCTGTAGCCCTTTCAGCTGTACGAGTCTTGCTAGAATGTCCCAAACCAAGTAATGGCAACCTGCAAGGCACCCGTTGCGGGAGAAAAGCAACCAGAGGCTTATGTTCTTGTGTTAAAACTGTCCTACACTGTCCGTATTCATATTTCCTAGTGGCTGCGAATAGAAGCCACCTTATCACGAGTCCAGTCGTACAGACCCAGCAAGTCCGCGTCAAGGCGTGTGAGATGAGAATCGTGCTCTTCGCGAAGGCTGTTGACTTCCTTCTGCAAGCTTTTGACACGTTCCAAGAGTTTCTGCTGCTCTGGGTCCACCATCATGCTGGGGTGACTGTTAAACGCTGCAGTCGACTCCTTCCGCTTCTGTACGTTGTAGAATGCCTCTAGGTTAAGCACAGACGCCTTCAACGTCTCGATCTCGTCGTCCCATGCAGTTTGTGCCTTTTGCACGCGTTTCGAAAGCTCACTAGGGATTCTAGTGATCATCTGAGAATGAAATGTCAGCTGAAAATACAGATCGTTGCGTTGATCGGGGCACCAACCTGATCGTAGCAAACCCGCATGTCTTGTAGACGGGTTTCTACCTCCTTCTTCAGTGCTAAATGGCTCTTAGCTGCTTCTCGCATACGGTTCGTCAGCGCGTCGAATTGCTTTCTGTCCGCTGATCGATACGCTATCGAGTCCGCTTTCCTGGAGAACAAATGCAAGATGTTACTTCAGAGTTCGCTTTATGTTAGCAGCACATACACCGTCTCGAGATCCGTCGCTAGTTCCTGGAGCCTAAAAGTGACGGCCAAGTCGCCATTCTGTATCGCATCCATCCGGCCTGTTGCCCCGGTACCCGATCGCTGGTCTGTGAACAGGACAGGGATCTGTGCTTTCACGGACACTGGCAGCGCCAATTTCAATTTGAGTAGCTCCTTGTCCAGTGCGAATAGCTTCTCGTCCAGTTCATCAATCTTCCCGGCGTGGCTTTGCATAGTCGCGTGGATCTGCTCGCTGCCTCGGGCGATTTCGCTTCGGACGCTGGTCACTGCGTCTTCAATGGCGTTCAACCCCTGGGTGATGAAATCCTTCGACGCGACGAGCTGTAGCAAATTATTGGTCATCAAGTCACAAGATTAAGTAAAAATGATCAAAACTGCTACGTATACATCGTTATCACCTCTTGATGCAGCAGTCGAATCTCCGTCGCCTGTTCGTGCTGCACTTCGTGCAATCGGCTGACCAACTCTCGCAGCTCCTGATCATCGAACACGAGATCTGTTAGACGAAATCGACTACAAAAACTTCCTCCCAGTTGCCGCAGTACTCACAAATCGATCTGCCGTGGACTGTTCATCCAACAGCTTGACAGCATTTTCGATGCGGCAATCTACAACGCAGCACTGTTCTTGTCGCTTGTCCACCTCATTGATCTGCTCCTGCAGCGTCTCCAGCAGCTCCTGCGACGCCTCATCCAGCTGCAATCGATGCCGCTTCTCCACCTGCAGCGCCTAATAGCCCTATGTTAATATTCTTTGCAGCATCGGTCTCGTTACGCTACGCCGTCGAACACACCTCCACTGCCTGCGCGAGCTTTTGCACCTGCAGCGTCAAGTCCTGCGCCACTGTGCGCAAATTCTGCCGCGTCATCTGCAGCGCTTCCTCCGCCTTTTCACGTCGATGACGTTCCGCCACGAGGTTGTTGCTACCGCCCAGGATATGGGGCTTCACAGCCCTCGAAGTACTAGCCGCAGTCTTGTTGCTCGCCACCATGGTCTACTACCTTTTCAACTGCTTCAACTTGTGTCGTTTCACATCCACCATCTGATTGATGTCTACCACCTTAATTTACGTACATCACATCGCCCATCAAGATCCGCTTCCTTCACTTTTATTCACTGTCGAAAGTGTCGAGTTGCTGCGTGCGTCCTAAAAAGCAAGGACCAACACTCTCTCATCTGCCGCCTTCCCCAGCTACCCACCGCTTGTCCCGCTGGGAGCGACGTTTATGGCCTCACCGTCTGCGTCTCCTCCGTCGCCTTCTCTTGCTCACAAGAAGCCTAAGCTCAGTCACCCTGATACTACTGCGCCTTCTTGTTCGCTAGCCACGACCTCCTCCTCTTGCGCCATGAAGACCAACACTCTGCACTCGGTACGCGGTAACCAGCGTCACTGGGATCTCACACGTTTATTAAGCCACCGTACAGCCTTCCCTGCCGAAACGTCGACTGTGGCGCTGGGCGAATTCGACCCGGACGCCGCGCAGGACACACTCAGCTTCCTGCAGGACGAATGCCGCGTCCTAATTATAGGCGCCGGTGGACTGGGATGCGAGCTACTGAAGAACGTAGTGCTCTCAGGCTTCACCAAGGTGGACATTATCGACATGGACACGATCGACGTGTCCAACTTGAACCGCCAGTTCCTGTTCCGCGCCACAGACGTGGGCAAGTCCAAGGCCGAATGTGCTGCAGCATTTGTCCGCACTCGCATGGCCTCAGAGGACTCGAAAGTGGACATTACGCCACATTTCAAGAAGGTACAGGACATGGACGCGGACTTTTACCGCCAGTTCCACGTGATCCTCTCGGGTCTCGACAATATCGAAGCACGTCGCTATCTGAACTCACTGGTGGTGTCACTTGCCGAGGTGGACGAGGACGGAGACGTGGACCCATCCACCATCATTCCGCTTATCGACGGTGGCACCGAAGGTCTGCGCGGTCAGGCGCGTGTCATCATCCCTAGGATCACGAGCTGCTTCGAGTGCTCGCTCGAGACGTTCCCACCGCAAAAGAGCTTCCCTATGTGCACCATCGCAGAGACGCCCAGACAAGCAGCACACTGTATCGCCTATGCGTTCATTGTACTATGGCCACGAGAGTTTCCCGAGAAGAAACTGGACAAAGACTCACCCGAGCACATGCAGTGGGTCTATCAGGCGGCTAAAGACCGAGCGGAACAGTTTGGAATTAGCGGAGTGACGTACAGTTTAACGTTGGGAGTGGTGAAGAATATCATCCCAGCTGTAGCGTCGACAAATGCAGTGGTGTCGGCCATGTGTGTGAGTGAGGCACTTAAGGCCATGAGCTACTGCAGTCGCTTGATGAACAATTACCACATGCATATGGGCGCTACGGGCTGCTATTCGCACACGTTCCAGTACGATCGGAAAAGTGACTGCGTTGTATGTTCGTCCCAGCAGAAAACGCTGCAAGTGGATCCGGACGCCATGACGCTACAGAAATTGATCGACGAGCTCTGTGGCGACGACTTCCGGCTTCTGAAACCCTCAATCAGCTCCGCTAATGCCAATTTGTTCATGCAGGGCCCGCCAGCTCTGCGTGCTGCTACCAGCCCCAATCTAGCCAAGCCGCTGCGTGAACTGGTGAAGGACGGAGAGAACCTCACAGTCACAGACGCAGTTTTCGTGGGCGACATGGCGCTGTCATTGCAAATTATCTTCAAGCCGACGATTAAAAATGGGGTAGAAAAGCCGACGCCAATGGAAGAAGATTGAGTCAAGTCGTGTCGGCCAGCTAACGCTGCCTAAATCGATATAAGTAAGGCTGCACTCAATTACCCATACTCAACTTAATCCCTTAGCTGTCTGTTGGACTGACTAAACAGATACAGATTGCTCGTTCGGCTTCTGGTGGATCAGCAACTTCTCCAGTAGCCGCATCATGTACGTGATGTCTTCCTCGTCCGAGCGCACAAACATCTTGACAAACCTATGAGGTACGTGAGGTCCGCCGAATCCGGTCGGTACTAACCGTGTGTAGATCTCGAAGACCGTCGCCGGGTTCTCGTCAGTGTGGGCTTCCGACGGACGCACCACGACCCACACGGTTTCATCCATAGCCAAGCCGTCGAACTCGCCTTGTCCTTCACTCCGAGCTCGCCACACGAACACCACGCGATCTGCTTCGACGTATCTCCGGATCGCGCAATACACGACGAAAGACACGCTCTCACCCGATTCCCACGAGTAGTTTAAGCGATACGTAGAGATTGTTGTGTTCTCGGGGTCTTCGATACCCTCGCTATGAGGGTTTTCCCTTGGATCGGAGAGCATCGCGAACGTCACCGCGTGTTTCGATTGCTCAAAGCCGAAGGGAATAACAGTCGCGTCCGCGCTCTCCAGGAACGTCATTGTCTGGTTCCACTTCCACGTCCGCTTGTACATGAGCGAGGACGAGAATTTCACGTCCGAGTTCTCGATCACCTCGTCCGTCTGCGCGTGGATGGCGTCCAGTTCGTGTACGAACGTCTTGAAGAGCGCCGTGCCCTTCTTCTCCCATCCACAAGACGGTTTGCCCTCCAGCAGCATGAGACTCTCAAGTTGGCTGTTCGCTAGGCGATGCTGCAGTAGCGAGTGCATCTGATGGATGAGTTGGCCTCGACTGATCACCGCGGCCTTGAGACGTCGCTGCTGCTCCTCGGAATCCATCCGGCGTTCCTTATGACGGACGCAAGTGGCCCGCCATACACTCGTAGCCAGGGCGTCGGCCTTCTCGGCCTCTTGTCTTGCCTTCTCTTGAGCATCTTTCATCCGCTGGAGCTCCTCGGCCAGATCTCGAGCCTGACGCTTCAACGTCTCGCGTTTGTCCTTGACGCGCTTAAGATACTTGACCCGCCGCTTGGCCGCCTGCGCATTGGTGATCTTGCGACGACGTTCAGCTGCCGTCAGTCGCGGGTTCGATGGCGCCGCGTTCCGGTCGCTATCTGACGTGGTCTCGTCCGTGCCGGGCGTCAAATTAACGGAGCTCTGAGCTAGGGACGCTTCAGTCGCCGTTACCAGCAGTTGGCTCGCGAGCAGCAGCTCGTCCACGGCAGGCGGCGCCTGTGGTTGCGCGACCGCGTTCGCGACGGCTGGTGGTTCGTACTCGCTTAGGAACTGCGTCACCGCCGCGAGCGTGGCGTCCATTTGCTGCCGGTCCTCCATCTTCGACTTGTTCTTCGCTGCGTTTATGTTCGTTCGTGTACTACGCCCTCTGGACAGGTAGGAAATGAGCTGCAGGTTGAGTCGCTCATTCCGCGTAGTTATTGAGACACTAGGACACTACGACGGCGGAATAATACCTCGTACGGCAAAAGACAGCACTGCATGTATTGATTGTTATGGCCTACAGTTCCATCACGTCCGAGCTGGCCGGAGATCCTGACTGGGACTCGCCTATTAACAACCCCTGCATTGCTTCCTCGACGTCAGCCATGTCCTCCTCGTCTACCATCCCCACGAGCTTCACGAACTGATTGCCACGCAGGTCGTTGGTGCCCATTTTGCCGTCCAAGTCCGTGAGTTTAAGTTGCGTATAGCTCTGCAGCGTCGTCCCAGGGCCTTCAGGCATGTCGGACGGGCGGATCACGAGCCACGCGTGTTCGTCCGAAAACACGCCGTCGAACTCGCCCTGACCTTCGAACTGGGACCGCCACACAAACACCACACAGTCCTTCTCGACGTATCTTCTCACGGAGCTGTAGGTTATCAGAGCTGTAGTACCAGACTCTAGTGTATAATTCGAGCGGTACGTGACCGCCGCAGTGTTCTCGCGGTCGTGGATCTCACCTCTGTAGTGACTCCCTTTGGGGTCTGCCAGGTACAAGGATGACAACGAGCGCCAAGTTTGGTCAAAGGGGATCGAAATTTGAGTCGCATCTGCGCTTTCCATCAGTGTTTTGTCTTGATTCCACCTCCGCCTCACTTCAAATGACTCGGGAGGCAGGAGATCGCATTGCACGCCCCCTACCAAATCAGCCGTCTTGGCGTACAGGTAGTCCAACTCGCGCATGAATGTCTTGTAAAGCAGCGCGCCCTGCATTTCCTGACTCGATATGGGGTTCACACATGACGCGAGGCTTTTCATTGGGGCGGACATCATCATCAAGGCGCTCAACTGGCGAATCAACTCGGCCCGATCGAGCACAGCCGCTTTCAGCCGTTGCTGTTCCTGCTCCGCTTCCAATCGTTTTCCCTTCTGCCGTGCGGCTGTGGCCCTCCAAGCGCTCAACGCCAGCGTGTTCGACTTCTTCGCCTCCTCTTTCGCCTTCGCTTGAGCCGTCAATAGCTGGCTCAGCTTCACTGACAACTCTCTCTCTTGACGTCTTAGTGATTCTCTTTCATTTTGCAGCCTCTTGCGATAACGATCGCGTCGCTCGTTGGCCTTCAGCTTGGCTCTATCGGTTGAGTTTGACGGTGTTTTCTCCAGTGTATCACTGTCGCAAAGACCGAAAGCTCCTTCTACAGGAGAATTAAACTCCCCGGAAAGGCTGAACTCGTGGAGAAACCCTGCCATAGCCGCCTCGAAAGTCGTGTCCATTGCTTCGCCCTCTGCCATCTCGCGCACAAGTGTATTTGATATTTGTGCGCCTCTACTACATGTACCCGGTCTCTTACTGCGCTCACACCGGATATTGCCCGGCTGGGACAGTGCCCCGGCTGGGACCCACAACGTGTGCGTATTCCGAGTGGGTTACCACCAGCGATCAGAATCGATAACGTGTGTGATGATGCCCCGAAGTGCCGAGATATTTTCACCAGGGTTGAATAAGTGAGCATTTCACCATGTTGCTGGATAATCTAAAGGCAGGGATTCTGGCCAAATTGTAGGTTAGGAAATGCTTTCGTAGATAAAACACCGTGAGACACATGCACACAATGATAAAGCCCTTGATATCAAGCACGAACCAAGATACAAGTGTGACGAAGCTATTGCGGCGTTCTTATGCTCATATACCGGATTTCGAGCCGACAGAGCTTAGAGTTGGTCAGCAAGCGTTTGTCGCTAGCTATTATTCAACCTTCTCTGAACATCCCAATACTGTTATTAATACAGAATCACTTAATCTTACAAATAGACACCTATACGGTGTACGAGAAGGGCCTAAAAAGTGGATATTCGGTGTTATGTATCGTGCTCTCCCTTTCCATTATTCAAGCCTTCAGTCCAGTGTGTTTATTCTCGGGATCGAGGGATTCACGTCCGGTGTCGTTCGATCAGCAAATGGACGCGTCACTCGCAGCGCTGACGCAGTTTCTCCACGAGTTTAAGCCAGTGACGGACTCCGTCGAGGTTCATGAGAGCGACCTGTTGTCAACTAGCAATAAAGACCAGTTAAGTCATGAGGTTGGCCGACGCTGTCCAGTTCGAAGTGGTAATTCTGGTGCGACCTCGAGACCGGCTCGGCCACGACCTGGGATGGATTCGCCTGGGTGCCGACGCGAGATTCGTTCCGCGCTGGCTGCCAAGCGACAGAGTCGGTATTTGACGAAAGTGAAGGAGGAGAGGAGGATGCTGAGGACTGAAGTGGTCGAGCTGTCTGCAGTATTGGATCGGCTTCAGAAAGCTCAAGCACGCGCAAACGCTTTGGCGGCAAGTGACCTCGCGTTATCGGCATGGAGGACCACCGCCATCCGCCAGAAGGAGCGGAGACTCGAGTCCGAGGCCAAACAGCGACAACTGAAAGCTCTTGTCGCCAATCAATCTCGACTGATCCACAGCATGAACGAGATACTGCAAGAGCGCATGCTTTGCAGTTCGATAACTTCGACTGAGCTGCTCCCATCGGGCATGACAATACTATTCAAGACGCTAATGCAAGAACTTAATCCACTGCATGCTATGACGAACGAGGTCTCTGCTGGCGTGGAGTTCAAGTTGTCATCTCTACCGATGCAGTTCGCGATGTACCGGGATTGGAATCACGACATGACGTTCCTGGAGAGCGCTCATGCGACTGTAGTTCCGTTTGGGTTTGACGAGACTTGCCACGCGCTATCGGATGCACTGCTGACAAATTTCAGACGAGATGGCTACACCAACGGAATCGTAGACCCTGAGAACACAAGAGCCTTCAAGTACAACGTGGATTTTTCGCAGGAATTGGGCGACAGTGCCACTTTAGACATCCATCTGATGGTGAGGAGATACATGGAGGCTGACAGAGTTGTTTTTGTGAGTCGTGCCCTCACTGAGGGCCAGGGCGAGTTTAAGGGCCTCTACACTGATGAAACCGCGTGGTATGTGCTTCGTAAATCAGCCAATGCGAGCGAAGGCAACGCCTTGGTATTAGAGACCTACACCCGGTTGATACCTGTTGGATTCGACTTGACATCGGAGACTGATGAGCGTGGGCATGAGTTTGTGAAAGTGCTTGTCAAGGCAGACGACGAAGACGTAGACGATATTATGGAGATGTTCAAGCAGATGCTACTCGACGAAACGCAGGCTATGTGTCTTTAAGACCTAGAACAAGAAAAAAAATGTCTGTGAACAAGAAAAAATGTCTGTACTTAACTGTAATAATCCCTTTCACTTCTATCCGATTATCACCAAACATCATCGTTAATTGATGCGAGTACTACGAACTGTTTGGTCTCCTTCAAGTATGAGCGCATCGAATTCGATGTCGTCCGTCCTCTTGAGCGTGGAGCCTTGCGCGAACGTATGAACCCAATCACGCTCGCAATGGCGATAAGCATCGTCATGATGAGTACATGCGGATAACGCGAAGAAGGCCATCACGATTTATGATGCATAGAACAGAACCCAGGTCTGGACAAAGTATATAAATTAGCATATCCATGGTAGCATCATTCTGATTCAGAAATTAAGAAAATCATGATTCAAATAGCAACAGTTCCTGTATTCATCTTGCACGAAAAGAGCAGAATCCCTATCTCGCGCCGTACACTATGTATTCGGAATACAGTGTTCCTCCAATACTCAAGCCTCTACCAGCACCGAGGTGCGAAGGCATTCGACACGTAAATGGACACAGCGATGACGCCCCTCGTGCCTCAAGAGATCAATGCCGTGTCAACCTGCGGCCTAACAGCGAAGACAGCTCCAATCTAGAAATTGACCAAACAAATCCAGTTCGAAGTGGCAGATCTGGCACGACCCCGAGACCGACTCGGCCTCGACGCGGGAAGGAGCACCGACGCGAGATTCGTATTGAGCGGGCTGCCGAGCGACAGAGTCGGTAAATGAAGAAGACGAAGGGGGAGAGGAAGTCGCTGGGGATGCAAGTGGGCGAGCTGTCTGCGGTGCTAGATCAGCTCCAGAAAGCTCGATCACAAGCTAACGCAGTGACAGTACGTAACATCGTATTATCGACGTCGAAAGCCATCACCATGCGTCAGAAGGAGGCCAAGCGGCGGCAACTGAGAGCCCTTGTCGCTCATCAATCTACGCTGATACGCAGCATGAACGAGTTATCGCAACAGAGCATAGCCCACAGTCCGATGACATCGTGTGAATCACATTCCTCCAGTATGACATCACTTTTCAATACTACAGTAGTACATTGGTACAAGAGCTCGATCCACTGCACGCTATGACGAACAAGGTCACAACCAAAGTAGACGCAAAGGTATCATCATTACCGATGCAGTTCGAGATGATCCGTGGCGGGAATAAAGACAAGACTTTCCTGGAGTGTGCGCATGCAACTATCGTCCCGTTTGGATTCAACGAGACTTGCCACGCGTTATACGTTGCGCTACTGTCAAATCGGGTAGGAGATGTCTACACCGACGGTATTGAGGACCCCGAGAACGCAAGAGCTTTCAAGCATCACTTCGATTTTTCACAAGAATTGGGCGATAGCGCCACTTTAGTACTACACGCTGTGAGGACGAGAGTCATTTTTGTGACGCGATCGCTCACTGAAGGAGAAGGAGATTTCAAGGGCCTGTATACAGATGAAACTGCGTGGGTTGTGCTCCGTAGAGCAACCGAGGCAACTGACGGCAATGACATGGTCTTGGAGGACTACACACGACTGGTACCAGTTGGATTCAAGGCGATACCGGAGACTGGTGCGTGAGGGAACGAGTTCGTCAAACGATAACATCTTGGTGATGTTCGAACGGATGTTACTTGACGAGACGCAGACGATTTGCCTCTAAGGTTTTGGTAAAAAAAGAAAAAGAAGAAAGAAAGAAAGAATGGGCAAAAAAGGAAATATTTATGGTACTACAAAATCACTACTACAGATACATCTACGGGTCCTCAACGTTCGTCCGAGCTTCGTCCAGCAGCAGCTTCCCCAGCATTTGCTTCATGTCGTTGACATCTGCTTCATCTGCTTTTGCCAAGATCTTGATAAACTTGTTGGTTCGCGCGTCATTATCCGATGGTCTGCCGAATCCAACGGGAACTAAGCGCGTATAACTCTCCAGGATCATCTTTGACTGGATATTTGACTGCGTTTCAGTCAGTGGACGCACTATAAACCACGCAGTCTCCACCGTCTGCAGCCCATCAAACTCGCCTTGACCTTCAGCAAGCGTTCGCCACACAAACACAGCACGATTCGACTCGACGTATCTCTTCACTGCATTGTAAACTACCAACGTCGCACTGTTCCCCAGTTCTTGAGAGAAATTCAAGCGGTACGTCCGGATCGCTGTGTTCTCGGGGTCTTCGAGCTCGTCATTGTAGCTAGGAGCGAGTATCATCAAGGACACTGCACGGCATGTCTGCTCGAAGCTAAACGGGATCACTGTGGCGTCCGCACTCTCGAGGAAAGTTTTGTCCTTGCTCCACTTGCGCGTCAACTCGTACGTTAAAGGTGGGGACATTTCGAAGCGGACACCACTAATTATCGCATCAGTCTGGGCGTATAGTGTATCCATTTCACGTATAAAAGTCTTGAGTAGTGCCCTTCCCTTCCTATTCCCTTGCGCAGTCTTCTCTTCGTACGCGTCGAGACTATTGAGCATTCGCTGTTGACACAATAACGTCTTCATCCGGTGGATGAGCCCTGACTGGTTCATTATGGCGGTTTGCAGCTGTCTCTGCTTGTCTTCGGACTCGACTCTTCTCTCTTTCTGTCGTAACGCGGTCGCTTTCCATGCATTCAGTGCCACCATCTTTTTATTTCTCGTGGCTCGCTCCTTGGCGTGAGCTTCCCGCAATTTCTTGAGCTTCAAAGCCAACTCCACTTCCTGTTTCTTCAGCACCTTCCGCTCCACTTTGAGTTTCTTTAGGTACCGCAGTCGACGCTTGGCTGCCTGCGCATTCTTCTTCTTGCGGCGTCTTTCATCTGGGACAGCTTTAAGTGAAGAAGTTTCACTTGTGTCCTGATCGTTGTCCGCCACTAGCGGCAGACCATTGTTGCTCGCCACGTCCTGGTAAACATCGGCTGATGGTTCGTATTCTCGTAGGAACTCTGCCATCGCCGCCATAGAAGCTGCTTCCAGGTGCTGCTCGTCCGTCATCGTTGCAAGGTCTCACCTATCGGGTTGTGTACGGACAAAGGAAAGGGCAGAAATGACATGCAAGTCAAGGATACAAAAATGCAATTTACCGTATATGACAAAAACAAACTCCAAAGTCGTGGATGTGTTTTGTGTCATCTATAGTACCACATTATATTTTTAAATAATACCGTAAGTGACATAACAAATTACATGTTATTTATGAAATAGTACCGTAAGTGACATAACAAATTACATTTTATTTTAGAAAATAGTACCGTCAATGACATTAAACTCTACTTTTATTTTAAAAGCAGTACTGTACATGACAAAAACAATCAGACTATCTCTCACTGTTCTGCACAAAGCGTATCCATTACACGAGCTGAAAGGAAGAAAAAACAAGCTGCTTCTACCCTACGATCGATTCGTTCGGTCCTGCAGCGGTGTACTCATCATTGAAGGGCTTTGCTGTGCGACTGGGGATGTCACCGACTGCTGACTGGATCGTCGAGCTTTCTTCACGGATCGATGCGAGCCGCTGTTCGGACTGTTGATACTGGGAGTTCCTGCCTTCTTGCTCATCGGCGTCGTCGTCCCATTCGCGGTGCCTTGTTCGTAGATTTTCGGATTGATCGTCACACTCTTCGTGGCGTCATTCGTCTTGTAAATCCCCACCAGTCGATCCGCGAGCTCGAACATGTTGTTGCGCAAGGAGATGATGATGAACTGTGCGTTGCGCGTGCGCTGCTTGATGTAGTTGCCCACAATCGACACGTTCTTGAAGTCCAAGGCAGCATCAATCTCGTCCATCACGTACAGCGGCGTGGGCTTGTAGTGATGCAGTGCGAACACCAGAGCTAGCGACGCGAGGGTCTTCTCACCGCCAGAGAGATTCGAGATGTTCTTCCAGCTCTTCTTCGACGGCCTCACACTGAACACCACGCCCTCCGAGAACGGATCCAATGAGTCCACCAGCTCCAGCTCAGCGTCTCCGCCCAGTGTGATCATCTGGTACATCTCCTTCAACTTGAGTGTAATGGTGCGGAACCCCGTCATAAACTCCTCCAGTCGCTTGCGACGCAGCTCGTCGTACTCGTGGCGCTTAGCATCACGCAGTTTCGTGGCTTCTTCCAGCTCCAACACACGAGCCTTGTATTCCTCCTGCTTCTGCTTGTACTCAGTCAATGCGCCCATGTTGACGTTGGCCTTGAGCTCATCGCGCTGCTGTTCAAGCACCGAAATCTCGTACTTCATCTCCTCCTTACTGTAACGAGACAAGGCAGCGGGATCCAGCATTGGGAGCTTTTCCAGAGTGACGTCCAGGTTGACATCTTCCTCCTCTTCACTGTCCTCGCTCTCGTCCTCCTCTTTACGTTCCTCGTCCATATCCTCGTCTCCGTCAGCGTTTCTGCTCTTCTTCTGACGCTTCCGAGCAGGAAGATCCCGTTCGTCCTCAAAGACACCAGCGTTCTGCTCTTGCTCCGTGATGAATGCGTCGTGCAGAGCCGTGAGCTTCGACTTCCAGTACGTCTCCTTCTTGCTGTTTTCCTCCAACATCTTCTCACAGTCCTCCAAGCTGTTCGCTAGATCCACCTCTGCACTCGCCATCTCGTCGTACTCCTTCTTGAGCTTCCTGTACTTGGCTTCGTCCTTACGGAGCTCCTTCTCTTTCGCAGTCACTTGTTCTTGCACAGTCTCGCACTTCTGCAGCACAGCCAAAGCCTTCTCCTCCATCGCAGTGATCTGCTCGCGAGTTTCCTCGATCTTCTTCTTCGCTGCTTCGATGTCTTCCTCAATCTTCTTCAGAGCCTGCTCGTTCTTCTCGGTATTCTTCTGACTACTCTTGAAATCCACTCGGATCTTGGTCATCTGCTTCGTCTTTTCGGCAATCTGCTTGCTGATCTTCTTGGCCACATCCTGCTCCTTACGCAACTTCTCTCCGCCCACATCGAGGATCTGCTCCTTCATTTTGGCCAGTTTCGCTGCCATTTTGTCCACTTTCATCTTCGTGGTCTTGTACTCGGCTTCCTTGGCGGTTTTCGTCTTGTTGAGCTTCTCCACCTGCTTTTTCGCCTCGGGAGAGAACGTTGTCTGCTTCTCCAAAACGCTCTTGTTCTTCTTAAAATCCTCCAGACGCGTCTTGGTGGCGCTGACGTTCAACTCGATCTTCGGCAGATCGTTCTCATACTGCTCGATCTTGCGCGTAAGGTGCGATAATTCCTTCTCCAGCGACTCCTTCTCGTCACGAATTTGTCCAAGTTCGCTTCGTAAAGACGACGCCTCCTCCTGCAGATTCCGGATCTCCTCTTCACTTAACCCGCTCGCTAGTGTACTAGACATACCGCCACTGCGAGCTCGCTTCCCTCCGCCAGACATGGCGCCTGACATCTCAACCAGCTGTCCGTCTAACGTCACTACGCGGTACTTGCATTGCCGTCCTTGATAAGCGATCGCAGAAGCCTCGTCCAGATCCTTCGCCACCAACGTATCTCGAAGAGCATAGTAGAATGCAGGCAGGTACTTCTCGTCGTTCACCTTCACTAAGTCGAACAGCCGAGGGGCTTCTTGTCCAGAAGGAGCAGTAACGCCATGGAAGCGCTGCGAGTATTTGGACTTTAGATAACCCAACTGCTCTAGAATCAGGAAAGTAGTACGGCCCAGATTGTGTTTGCGTAGATACGCCACACACGCCTGCGCCCCCGACGTTGTCTCGACCACCAAGTTGTTCAACGCACCGCATGCTGTTGAAATGGCGACGTCGTATTTACCGTCGATCGCGCCAAGATCTCCCAGACGACCGAATAATCCAGCCTTTTCCAGCGGTTTACCAGGCTTGGACGCCTCGAGCAACTCGCGCAGCATGCGGTTCCGAGTGGCGTGCGACTGCACAGCGCCAGAAGCCTCTTCAGCTTTTGTACGTGCCTCACGATACTTCTCTGCGACCGAGCTTTCCCTGCCTTTAACGTCGTCCAGCTCATCCTCAGCAACACCAATGCGATCCTTCATCTTGGCCAGCTTCTCTTGCTTCTCGCTCAGCTCTTCCTCCAGTCCACGCAAGTTCGCTTCGGCTTCAATGACTCCACACGCGTTGGCTTCAAGCGCCTTCTTGGCGTTCGTGACAGGCTCTTCCACCAGTTGAATTTCCGTCTCCGTCGTGTCGATCACTGACCGCAGAGCATTCATCTCGGTCTGGAACGGCTCCATCTCTTGCTGAATCTCCTCCATCGTACTACGAAGCTTGGCTGTTTCTTCCTTGTGTCCCTCGACAATACTCTCCAACACCTGTTCCTGTTTCTTGAGCTTCGCCTGCAGTTTCTCAACCTCCTTCTCCAGCTGCGGCACGAGCTCCTCGTTCTCCTGCATCTTCTGCTCAATGTTCTTCTGCTTCTTCAGCTCCTTCTTCTGCGCTGACTGCAACTCCTTCTGTCGCTCCTTGGCGTACTTCAGCTCCTCCCGCAGCTTCACGTCCTGCTTCTCGAACTCCGCGTACTCCGTCTTGGCTTCATCCAACTGCTTGGCCACTTCGTCGTGCTCGCTTTTTATTCGCTGGTAAACAGCCTCAACCGCCTGCAATTCCTCTCGGTTCTTCTCCATACGAGCCAGTTCCGCCTTGTACTTGGCCTGCAGCTCGTCACGCTTCGATTCACATAACTCGCGATTCTTGGACGCTTCCTGGATCCACAACTGGTACAGAATGTTGGTCTTCATGTACACTTCCTTCTCCTTCCGAAGATACTCGAGCGCCTCAGCACGTGGTCCCTCCAGATGCGCCTTCTCTTTCTCCACCAGCTTGACGCGGTTCACTTTGTCTCCTCGCACTTCGTTGCACTGCTCCACTTCGTCCCACACACGCTCGGTGGGCTCCACGTAGACGTTCGAGCCGATAATATCTTCCAGATACTCGAGTAATCCGTCCTCGTTGGTGCCTTCAGCGCCCTTGCTCTTCATCATGGCGATCTGCTCCACTTCTCCCTGTAGAATGAGGAAGCGGTTGTTGTCCAGGTCGATCCCTTTGTCCTGTAGCAGCTCTGTGACGCGCGTAAAGTTACTGGGTCGGTCATTTACGTAATATTTGCTCACGTTCCCCTTGGTGGCAGTACGTGTGACGCTGAATTGCGAGTTGGGGACGACTGTGTAGTTGGCTTCGTTGACTGTGGCTGAAGCTGCAGCCTCCTGCTCGTCTGTGTCGATGATCTCCTGGAAGAAGACGGAGACTGTAGCCATGTCCAAGTCTGGGAAGTTGGCAGAGCGATGCACCAGCTCTGAGACTTTCTTGAGACGGAGTTTGGACGCACGTTTGCCGAATACGAAGAGAAGCGCGTCGATGACGTTCGACTTGCCGCTGCCGTTGGGGCCTACGACGGCACTGAAGCATTTGTGGAAGGGACCGATCTCGACTTTGCCCGCGTAGGATTTAAAGTTCTCCAACTGCATTTTTGTGATCATCAGACGCTTGACGGGCGCCGCTTTGGCGGGCGTCGAGACTATCGGCGTGGAGGACTTTGGTGTCGGGCTTTTAGCCGGAGTTGATGGAGGCCCCTGAGCTTCGCTCGCGGCTTCCTCCGTCTCCATTGGCTGCTGCGTCTCCTGTTCTTGTTGCTGTTCTTGTTGCTGCTCCTCTGCAGACAGCGCGGCGGCGTCGACGTCCTGGGCTGCCATGATGCCGCCCTTGGTTTGCGCGCGGAATTGACTCGGCAAATTTGTGAAAGACGATTACACTTGGTTTTTGTAATAAAATGGCTACACGGGAGAGATTTTTCAAAAAAAAAAAAGGTGAAGAGTGAAGGTCCATGTACCCATCTGACTGTCGTTGCCACCTACTGATTGGACTCTGATGCCGCGGTCGCTGGAGGCCGAAGCCTCTCTGCGCGTCTTCGCGAAGGCCAAGTTGCCGCTGGACGCGCTCGGCCGCGTGTTCTCCTTCTCTTGGACGCTGCGTGATGCGCTAGAGGACGAATTGGCGGACGCGGTGACGGTATTGCTGACCACGCGCGACTCTCCGTGCTCTCCAGGACTTGCGGACAGCGTGGCCGCCTCGGGCCAATTACACATGCTGCAACTGCTTCACAACTTCCATGCCGAGGGTTTCACTACTGATGCGATGGACGGTGCGGCTTGCAGTGGGCATCTGGATGTGGTACGCTTCCTGCACTCAAACAGGAGCGAGGGCTGCACTAAACGAGCGATGGATGGTGCCCTGGACGCTCATCACTTCGATGTGGTGCACTTCCTCATCCAACATCGACCTGAGAAGTGGTCGGGACGGGCAACTCGCTGGGCGGTCGAGAACGACGACTTGCAGGCTATTAGAGACATCCTCAAAAGGAACAGGGACACCCCGACAGCCGAGGCTAAAGTCGTGGCATACAAACAGAAGCAGACGGAGATGCTCAAGGTTTTGTACGAAGAAGGCACGGACACACGCCCGTCGTACACTTTAGTGCACGCCTGTGCGGACAGAGACCTGGAGATGGTCAAGTACTTCACCGCGAGGAGCGAGGGCTTCGTCAAGAGCGCAATGTCTGAGGCTATAGCTGCAGGAGCGCTAGGGATTGTCAAGCATCTGCACGAAAATGTATCTCAGAGATACACTGAGGCTAGTAGAGTGGTGCCAATGCAGGAGGCGGCACTGAAAGGACAGTTCAAGGTGCTGCAGTACTTGAATGAGCACGCGCCGGAGTTGTCGTGCACTACCAAAGCCATGGATGATGCTGCAGCGGGTGGTTACTTGGACATTATCAAGTATTTACACGAGAATCGAGAGGAAGGGTGCACCTCTCGCGCAATGGATCGCGCTGCTACAAAGGGGCATCTCGATGTGGTGAAGTTTCTTCATGAAAATAGACAAGAAGGGTGTACGACTCACGCTATGGACTACGCGGCGCTATGGGGTCACATTGATGTCGTACGCTTTCTCCATGAGAACCGACAGGAAGGCTGCACTGCAAGAGCCTTCAATGAAGCTGCCCTGCGTGGACACGTGCAGGTGGTCGACTTCCTCATTCACAATCGACCAGAAAGCTGCAATATCGCCCACGGGATGAAGCTGGCACGGCAGCGAAAGTGCCAAGCAGTGCTTGAACTATTGGAGTCCTACCAAGCGGCATAACTCTCGCAACACTTGATTCCACTGTACTGTACATATATTTCATGCAACTTTTGTCACTTTACCATTCGAGTTTGCTTTCTTTGGTTATTTTCGATGAAACAATTGCTTTCGACGACTGAACTATTGAAATTTATCTTCTGTTAGCTCGAATATCGTTGCTGGGCTGAGAATGAATAGCAGACCCCCTCCTCCGTAGCGTTGGCGAGCCACGCCACCATTTATGAGTGAATTGAAGAAGTTTCCTTGAAAGGCTGTCAGCTTGCTTTCCACGGAGTAAAATACAAAAGAGTGTTGCTGTTGAAGTTGCCTGCACTTGTCAAACCGTGGGATGTTTAGTCCGAAAGGATAACTCATCATTTCGACAAGTTCAAGTGTATGTACAGTAGTCTGAAAGTATCCGATATCAAAAGTTGATCAACTCACAAGTCGTATAGAGCACCATTACTCATGGAAGCCTCATGGCATGAGGCTTCCTTCTTGGATGCAACACTCACACATCGCCTGTCGGGTCCTTCCTGTGTCCGTGCTGCTTCGCAGTCCTGCGACGTTGGAAGAAGCCTCCTCCCACCAGCGCCAGTCCAACGATGATGCCGACTATTAGCACAGGCAAGACCGACTTGAGCAGACGCTGAACGAGATGGTAGTAGTCCACCGACGAGCTGCCAACCGTAGCGCTCTCCTCGCCCCAATACGCAGGGAAGATAACCTCCGCCTCGAGATTGGGCCACAGCACGTCAGACATTGGCGCTGACTCGTTCAAAGCCGAGTACGACACGGCGTACGACGCCATCAGTCGCTTGTGAGCCACCATTGTCTTGCCCGTGCCAGCCTCCACGTCGATGTACGTCACGTACTTGTCGATATATTCCTGCTTCAAGTCACCCGAGTCGTACATGGAGTCTCCAGACGCCACCACGCCATCGCTCATAGTGATCTCCACAGCATCAAGTAGCGTCGTGTTGCCGTAGATGTAGATCGGATACGACACGTACGCTAAGAACCCTGCAGAGAACGCCAGTGGCTGCACTCCATCCACCGGCCATCCTGTGCCCTTGATGTTATTGTATTGCGAGTTGACCAGCAGATTGTTGGGTGGACTGAAGCGATGAAGAGTGATCCCTTCGTGATCGACCTCCTGTCCGGTCGAGTACAGTGTCACATTCTGCTTGCCTTCGTCCAGATACATATCGGACGATGTTTGCGTCAGAGTGTTTTCAAAGCCTGTCATACCAGCACCTCCAGGCTTGATACTGGTGGCATCGTTCCCTTCAACGGCACTGCATGTGAGGTTTGCTGTGGGGCTGGCGCAGTTCCCGTAGTCATTGAACGCGATGATCTCCGACAGTGTCGGATTGCGACGTTCCTCACCAAGTGTGGTGACCCACAGTGCCGTGGACGTGTATCCGTTGAATTCCTCATAGTCGAGGATCTTGGAGTCGTCCTTGCAGCCTGTGATCTGGATGTACGTCTCGAGATTATCGGCCGAAGGAGGCGTCTTGGAGTAGTCAAGTCCCGAATCCTCCGCAATACCAGGGAGAGGAGCAGCGCAGAGACCGAAAGCTTCACACAGATCGCAAGTGTTCTCTCTAAATGTAGCTGCTTCTTCCTCACCATACTCCTCGGCGTAGATCTCCTCAATGATGCCGCAAGTGACGTTGTTAATCGCTACGACACTTGCACCCAAAGCACACTGCTTACACTCGTACCAAATATCTAGACAAGCGTCCCCCTCACAACTCGCACATTTGCTGTTCCATCCATTCGCCACATTGCAGCTCGAGACGTATTCACTGCCAAGACCTAATCCAGCCAGCAAGCTCGGGTAGCCTAGTGCCCATTGCGAAACTGTTCGCGTGACGAAGAGTCCGTTGTAGACGAACCCGGACAGATCCAAGTCAGCAATTGCTTGTGGACCCGTAGCCAAGAAGGTCAGCACTGTGCCACCACTCGCGACGGTGTTCATAGCCACGGGGTCAAGTGAGTTGAGCCCATTCACCCAACGCATCATTTGCGGTCCGTAGTTTTCAATCGCATCCTCAATGACCGTCTCGTTAGTAGAAAACGAACCAGCCGCCAATTTCATGAGGAAAGCCTTCTCACCTCCCGCCTGGGCGATGACATTCAAGTATCCAACGTCGAAACTCGTGAACTTGTCGGAATCGGAGCATCCGTCGCAACTCAGCGATTCCTCGAAGGTGTGGTAAGTGTAAGACTTGTAGCTCACTCGAGCCCCGTCGTCCAGGAAGTTGATGTCGATCTTGAACTCGCGACGACGGAAGACGTAGGGTCCACTCTCCACGAGGCGCAGCTTGGAGTCTTCACCAGCCAGATACGCCTCTGCATTCGAAGCGTTGAACATGCGCAGCGTGTAATAGTAAGGGTTGCAGTCATCGCAGTCGCCGTACGCGTCGTAGTACGATTCCTCTTCAGCATCCGAGGTATCACACACTACAACGCCATCCTTGACCTTCTTGTTGATGACAGGGGGCAGTGCTGATCCGTAGACGATGGCGATCACTGTCATCAATGCACCGATGATGATCAAGATGAGACCGAGTTTGTGTACTCCACAGCAGCCAGTCTTCTGTGGTGACGAGGTTTTCACGTCCGCATCCGTTGGCGTCGTGATGCTGTAGACAAAACCCATTCAAATTGTGTTGATGTTAGATGCCGACTTGGTCAGGAGACTAAGACGACCGTACCCGCTTTGGTAGTCATTGGATGGCGATCCAGTCATCGGAATGTGGTGGTGGTGGATTCAAGTTGTAACGTAGTCGCTTTGACGTGTTGATAGACGTGAAGACGCGGTTGTTGCTTGACGCGGCGAAAGCGAAAGTGAGATGACGGAACTCCCGACTCGAATTTGCAGGAAGTTACCGTCGTTGAAGTCGTCAGGATCAGCTCTATGGAGAGTCACCGGTGGTACCGACATACCACGAGCTCATCTCGATGAGGTCTACACATCAGCAGACTAATCACTACTTCAACTAAGTGTCTTCTCAGTCTTGGATTCACAGTACATGTGATGAATTCTTAAGCGATCTCGATGGGTTGACGCATTGGAGGATGATAAGCGTATGTTTCTTCATTGCAGCGGCAGGGTGCAGACAGAAGAACCACGAATCAAAGATAGCATCTCCAGCATTTCCAGCAGTTAAGCAAAGAGCCTCGACGTGCCAACACCGAGCACTATGGTTGTAGAAGCTGTTCTTGGGGGTCATGCTAATACTCTAGAGAGCTGTTTTTCTAAACTTCTTGATTTGTCGGGTTGATGCTTCGGTTTACTTTCATTGAGAGATTTAGACTTGTTTTTAGGCATGACTGGAGTAACTCCACTGGAGTTCACTGCTGTCCTTTTTCAATCCGAAACTCGATTGACTTGGAATCTGAAAAAAAAAAAGGGGGGGGGGGAGTATTCCCCCCTCTTCCAAATTTATAAGAAAACTTGTTTTCGAGTAAATGTTGGTGGATATGCGAGTAAGGGAACAGAATGGCGGTTGGTCGAGTAAGCATTTCAATGAGATTAAGTCCGAGTAGTTGTAGATGAACTGCGAGTAAATCAATATGTACTAAACGTTAAAAAAAAACTGCTCATTCAGGAACTCCTGTGATGTTTAGGCCCCTAGAGTGACTGTGAGAAAGCTCTCGCGCCAGCTCCTCCACCTCCATCGAGATAACCTTTCCGTCAGAAAAATAGCACAGGCCAAGCGTATCGACCATCATTTTCTTGCCAAGATGTAACCCTCCCCACCAAGTTCGCAGGAGTACCGGTGCTGGCACCACTTGGTTCGAACTGCTTCATGATTGACCAGTGCAGGCAACGAGCTGGTGCTTTTGTGAGCAGCCGAATGAGGTTCTTCTCAGAGAAAAAATGACTGTTAGCTGTATCACAAACCAAAGCACCTCGCTGTTTTGCCGATCGAGGCGGCTTGCTCCGCTAAATTAGTGACTTTTAATAGTCCGCCAGTACTGATGCTTGACTGGAAGCCGCCCTTGGGAACGCATGCACCTCGGTGCTGCTCCCACGCAAAGTAGAACCTTCACTGGGCCGATGCAAATAGCCTAAGTACTAGTCAATTATTTTTCATTTTTATTAGCGCACTGCTAGCGCTAACACGAAGCGCGTAGACGACAAATTGCGACACATAAATAGGCCAAACATTACTTTTGAACCACGTACTCGACTTTCCATCGTTTTACTATCTTACTTGCACATCGGCCATTTCTTACTCGACGCACCCCAAATTTATTCTTTTGAACTTGAGAACGTCATTTTGGACGTCCCAGACTTGCTGCTGGAATCACTCCAGTTTCTAGAACTCCAAATTAGTGGCGGCTTACAAAAACTAGAATGACGTTGTTTAGTCCGGGAGGTTGGAGTATTGGGGCGTACGTGGAAGTCATATCGAAAGAGTCGGAATATTGCTATTATAAAAAGTCTTGGTAGTATATGGGACTCGATTTCGTACTTTCAATCTTTTGAAGTAATTTCCTTGTTTGACCTGCAGGAGAAAATAATGTACTTCACCACTTCTGCTAAATTTTGGTTGCACTAGGTGCAGCAGGATGGCTTCGTTAAACGTTTTAAATGATGAATAACCTTCTATTTAGGCGATCACGCAAAGTGGTCGTTGCATAACATACAGTGTAATATTCAGAATCCCCAGTAGATTTACTAATAAAACAACATTCGAACACTACCGAATGCACTGTTGGTGTTTGCCTGATATCATCTCAAACGTATCTCGTCGGCACAATTATTTACTCAAAGTGGTAATATCATATTGTGTGTTTGATTGTCTACCCATTTGGGCCGCTTTCCTAGAAATTAACATCGACTTCAGTTCAGGTTTCCGTAGTCCCCACTCCTTTAATTGTGCCCATGTACAACCATGGATCACTACTACAGGTCTTACAGCAAGAGAGAGAGAGAGAGAGAGAGAGAGAGAGAGAGAGAGAGAGATGGCCTTCTATTTGAGTGTTATGTTTGTATGCCTATAGAAGCCTGATATGCAAGTAGGCGGTTCTGTACAGAGTACAGGTCTTACAGCAAGTGACCAAGTAACGGTGGTTTCATGTGAGAGGTGTGTAAATCTCGTGCTTCTATTGCGTACACTGTTGCACGGATGTCGACCAAGCTGACTTCAGAATAATCCCTGTTGGGCCTCCCTATATCAAGCTCCGCTACATACATCCCGGTATAACAACTTCATCAGTGATGAGGTTTTACAACGAAACCTTATAATTTTAAATGTGGTTCTGTTGCCAATCAAAACTCCATCGTACTGGTCAGGACGCTTATAAGGCTTCAGCTCGTTTTTACTCTCTTTTGGTGTGGCAGCATGGATCTTGTTGATATACCAACTTTGTTAGAGACCGCTGATGGCTTGCCCTAAAAGAAATAGCCTCTATCGGAGCGTAGCCCTTTCCTCGCAGCTCTGACCCCACAACAGGACGGAATTGCCGTTGGCAATCGCATGCGCTCGCGCGATGGATTTTGGTGGATAGATCGAGAGTAAGACCTCACCGACTTGGCAGCGGGGAAGGCACTCTTGTCATGAGAAAATAATTGCAAACGCTCTGCCACTCCTTGGTCGCAAACTGGTAATTGCCGAAAACGTTTCGACCATAATAGACGGTTTCTTGAAGTGCAGTGGTCAAGTGGTGTAGTTAATTTTAGCTTCTCTTTTTCAGTGTACAGAACAACGTTCAGTGCTATGTAGTATGTGCTATAGCACAGCAGCTAGAACAGACTCTTGTATTGAACAAAACTATTATTACGCCGCTTTTTTTTATAGTTTACTTAGTATCAAATGCAGCTCATTCAGTTTTGTGCAACATCACTTGGATATTGTATCAAAATCATTTTCCTAAAAGAAATCGTTTATTGTTACAATAAATCATGTCATGCTTGCTCCGTTGCATTGCTGGCAGCAATGTAATTTGCTGCACTATGAACAGCGCTCTTGCTCGGTGATGGTGGTTTAAAGTTAAATAATTTTGGACCCTCGTCAGATCCTGAGAAATGTGTTAACTCTACCATTGTTGCATTGCTGTAGGCATATTGAGAATGGAGGGAGGGAACGGCTCCAATCCAATTCATGGGACTCCGCTACCAACGGCCGTGGCGAATGCGATAAGGTAAAATGGTCAGAAACCACTATTCTGGCGCCAGTAAACTCATCAGTGATGTGTGGGCGTCCGTTGAGCTAAGGGTAACTTACTCGCTTCAGAGCAGTGGATATAGTAACTTGATGGTACTGGTTGATAATGGTATCACGGGCCACGTTTCGCGGCAGTATAGGTTGCTATCATTATTGAGTGGGCGCTAAATGATCGTAATATACCCTCATCGACATCGAACTTTTTTTCACGATAACATCGAGTACGCCGGTAGCTCTGACAAGATGGACCCTACTAGAAAAAAAAATAATCGATCTTGTTGCATCGCCGCGCGCTGGAACTTTAATGACGGTCCGCATAAACGCGCGCAAGTAAACTGCGTCCCGTCACAAACTGCAACAACTTGGCTCTGCTAGCAAGAGCATGTTAGACCTATGACAACTGGTAGAATCTCATTTATTCTCACCGAGACAGTGGCAACGCTATTACTGGCAGTAACTTGGTTCTTCGTGTATGACAATAGGCACAAGTCGTCAGGTGGGGCCAAGGTTCGGAAGCTGCAGCTTGCATTCGTCACTTGCATTTTACGATAAGGTGCCCAATTTCCAGCGCGAAGCTCCCGTATCGGTGGTGACTCACCATACTGCGTGGTTGAAGTATGGTGCGTGTCGTTGCTCCCGAGTAACGGCGTCCAAGATCTCTATTTATGACAACCCCGTGCTCAGGGCAACAGAGGCGGCAGGGCTTTGGATGGGGTTGTTCATTTCCAATTGCTCCGCCCAGCACTCAAAGCGTCTTCCCCACCTCCCCCAACCAGCAGCAGAATGTGCAACATGGTAACGATGCAGACTGCCCTGCCGTCGTTTGTCGAGGACCCCGCCACCGTGTCGGCCTCCGGCAAGCTGCTGTCTCTGCCCACCCTCAACATCTCGGTCCAGCGCGAACGCTCGAGCGAGCGGTATTCGCAGCGCGCAAACGGTGTCTCGTTCCAGAGTGAAGCCTTTCGACTGCGCACGCAGGCCAAGATCTCGGAGCTCGTGCGAACAGCCACGGCCTCGACTGATATCTGCAGCAACACCAACGCGCTGCTCGCCAAGAAGGCGCTCAAGTACCGCCGCGTATTGGAACGACGCCAGCTCGCCAACGCCGCCGTGACGTGCTAACCGTCCTCGGCATCCCCACACCTATTTATTCGCCAAAAGTGCTAGTAACATCATCCCATACACGTATTCAGCCCAAAGTGGGCGTTTCGTGCAATTCCGCTTAACCTCGATAGAGTTGTGCGATTGGCGAGCTCGCATTAGAAAGATGGACTTGTGAATTCTACTTCCGATGGAAAGTGTCTGCTTGCCGACGTCTACCAATATTGAATGCACTGCATCGCCTGCACCGAGCAGGGCCCGACCAACCATCACTGGCTCAGTAGTCTCATTTTGCAAGTTGAAGTGCTCGTCAACGATGACCATTTCGATTTTCAGCCAATCATGTACTTGATCTACCTCTTTTCATCCAATCCTCGACCTTGATCATTGTCCGCCTGTCAAACTGACTCCCACACTCGGCCATTTCCCCCTCTTTAGGCATCCTCTCACGATGCTTAAGCGCCCAGCCCCCACCGCGGCCGCGGCGACTTCCACGCCGGCTGCCGCAGGCTCGACACCGCCGTCTCCGTCTCCACCTGCTGCCAAGAAGAAGCGGCGCTCGCAGCCCATGGGCAACCTCACGAACCTGCAGAAGCGGCAGCTGTGTATTAAGTTCTCGCAGGTCAAAATGACGCAGCAGGAGCTGTGCCACTGGGCCAAGCGCGAGTTCCAGCTCACGCACCTGCCGCACCAGTCCACCATCTCCAAGATCTTGGCGCGCTCCGAGGAGTTGACGCAGATGGCGCCCAGAGACCTCTCAGCGCGTCGTAAGGGGCTGGTCACGCACCCGGAGCTCGACACGGCGCTGTGTAACTGGGTGCTCTGTGCGCGTCACAATGGCCTCAAGATCTCGGGCGACATCATCAAGAGCCAAGCACGCTCACTAGCCTCACAGCTCGGCATCGCGTCCACTATGAGTTTCTCTAACGGCTGGCTCGGTGGCTTTAAGAAGAGATACAACATCCGTCTGGGCAGCGCCGCCGCTGCCATGGACGGCGTCAACGGTGTGGCCATGACCAGCAGTATTGGCTCTCTCGAACAACTGCAGAGCGTCGCGCGCGTGTATGACCCACGCGACGTCTACTGTATGCACGAAACCGGACTATACTACGAGCTGTCGCCCGAGAAACCCGCGGGACGCGGCCGCGCAGCCAGGAAGGAGAACTGTGGCGAGCGACTCACCGTCGTATTCACAGTCAACGCAGACGCTAGCGACAGGATGGAGCCCATGTTCATCGGACCCGGTAAACTACCCGAACCTACCGAAGAGCTGGACACAGACTCGCGTAATTTTCACTACCAGAACAACAAACGCGCGTGGATGACACCCGTCATGTTCCAGGACTACATCTCAGCTATCGACACTCGGATGCGAGACGAAGGTCGCTATATTCTTCTACTTGTATCAACCGCGCCGTCTCATGTTGCGCTTGGACTCGAACTCACCAATGTGCGTCTGGAGATCCTGCCGTCGCCTATGGAGCCGCTGCCTATTTCCATGCAGACGTCCATGCAGGTGAGTGCAGAGGACAACGCCAGTCTGTCGGCGGCTTCGGAGTCCATCGCAGCGACGGACGTGAACGACACGCCCATGCCGGAAGCAGAGCAGACGCTTACAGAGGCGACGACGACGAAACTGCAGCCGGAGAGCGAAGTCTCGACCTCGTCAGTGGCCGATCTCAACAACTCGGCAGCGATGGCGGCCATGGCGTCGAGTATGACGACAGTGACGACTCTACAGCCGTTGGACGCGGGACTTATTGCGGCGTTTAAGCGCCGGTATCGACGCTATCATATGCTGTACGCGCTGGACCGCTTCGAAGCGGGACGACAGGATGTCTTCCATGTGGAGCAGCTGCAGGCCATGCGTTGGGCGCGTCACTGCTGGAAGCAGGAGATCCCGGAGGAGATTATTCGCAAGTGTTGGGCGGCCACGGAGATCCTCGTGCCCAAGCCGAACCCGGAGACGATGGCAGCGTTCGAGTCGATCGAAGAAGATATCGACAAGGAAATCTGTGACACTGTGTCGGCTCTCGAGATCCTGCGACCGCTGCCTATTGACGAATTTGTGAACCCACGCGACGAGAACACTGGAATCCATTGCGCCGGACTGGAAGAAACGGACTTCATCTTCACCGTCCCGGACAATGCAGGCAATGAGACCAAACCCAACAGCAAGAAGACGTCGCCTAATGCCGCGGACGGTGCGAAGCAACAAGTAATCATGCCACCGACCGAGTTGACGCCGCGTCTGCAGGAGCTACACGCCCGTATTGAAGCGTCAGCGTCGTCTGCTGCTGCTGCCGCTGCGTCGGGTCTGGGTCTCACGCCGTCGTTGACTACGATAACTACAGGGGACAGTACATCAACGGCTACAGGCAGCGTGGAGGATGTGCTGGGCTTATCGTCGTCCGCTACGAAGTCTGTCGATGGACCAGCGACGAACGAGCAGCTCATCGAGTGCTTTAAGGTGCTGCTACCCGAGCTGGATCGACTACGATTCGATGACCACACGAAGAAGAGCATCCGTACAACGTTCCGAAAACTTAAAGAGACAGCCGAACAGCAAGCGCTTGACCGCAAGCGCGGCATCACAAAGCACAAACCTCAAGCACACCAGCACTCACAGTTCCAGACTCAGGTTCAGATGCAGGAGCAGCAAGCACAGGCTCTGCAGGAGATGCAGCAATTGCAACAGCAACAGATCCAGCAGATGCATCAACAGCTCATGATGCAGCCTGATCAGCAAGCTCAGGCCATGGCGATGGCCGCCCAGGCGTCTCAAATCGGCGAGAACACAGTCTTGTAAATGTTTGTCTATAAACACAGTTATGGTATCGTTCACCTGATGCCCTATCGGATCCCTATCGAGTCTCTATCGGATCTCTATTGATTGCTGCTCACTACAGTAGTGGTTAGTCGTTACGTAAATGTGATGGATGACTCGTTCGTTATCGCAGTTTGAAGCGAGGACTGGAGCTGCGATGCAACTCTGTACGATCGCAGTGATGGAGCTCACGAGAAGGATCTAGAGATCCATCTCTATCTGGTATTACAGCTCTATTTTATTATAGTCGATCAATGCAGGACTAGAGCACTAAAGCCCGTGTTCAACGCAGTGGAATCTTCGAGCCGCACATACTGCAGCGCGTTCTGGATCTGTACCTGCCGACGCGCGACTGTATCCATGTCTTTTTAGCGACTTATTGCCCGTCACGAACAGGCTTTGTGGTCGGTTGCGTTGAGGTTACTCGAGCAAATTTGACGTTACGAACATGGCACTCACGTCTTCCTATGGAACTTCGTCCCACGCACGGCTGGCTTTCTCTGGTGCCAATAGCGTTCTGGGGCTTCGACGAGAAGCTCTACGTTTTTTCGTGTTTGTTCGAGTGAGTTGTACGACAGACAGCACTGTCCGTTTTGCTCCATTGATCTCACTTCACCAAGAAGAGCGAACAGGAACGAAAGATGGTTCAACTTGCACGATGGAAAGTGTCTGTAGCAGCAATGGTGCTCGTGATGATCTCGTCAACTGGCATTCAAGCACAGGACGCTGGCACCGTAACCGCGGCGAATCCAGAGGTGACGGCGCCGGCAGTTGATACGGCAACCCCAGTAGATACCACAGCACCACCGGTGACGGGTCCAGCAGCTCCGATAGTCACTACAGCCGCTCCGGTCGTCACGGAAGCGGTGACGACGCCGCCAGTAGCTACAGAAGCTGTCACAGTCCCCGCCGTGACGGAAGCTTCCACCACTAGCACTCCAGTGTCGACGCCGGCTCCCGTTGCGACGGACGCAGCTACCGAGACGCCAGCTCCAGTAAGTACGGATCCTCCAACCACGTCGACACCTACAGCGACGCCGTCCACCGTGTCCGAATCCAGTGTGCCGATACTACATGACACGACGTCTCCACAGAACTTGCGAGGCAATGACGATGGGAGTAGCGCGAGTGCGTCTTCCCTATCTTCGTCCTCACGGAGCGTTTTGGAGGAGCACAAGACCGGAACTCTGAACGGAATGTCCTCCACCAAGATGATGGTCATCTGTGTGCTCGGAGGAGTTGGCTTGACCGTCATCTTGAGTCTACTCTTCGTCTTGTGGAGGCATCAGAGACGTGACGACCTGGAGCTCGGCACGCCTATCGCTCCCGACACTACCGCGATCACGTCTCCACCTGCCTCGGCCGCCTCAGCGAATGCTGCTGCCTGGAAGGCTAAAGAGTCGAGTTACCCGCCTCAAATGCCGCTGGCCGCGAACACCCGCGCCAAGATGAATGCCACCACACGATCATCTGCAGAATTCGATATGGCTAACCGAATCTCGCAGATCGCCAATCCCCCAGCTCACAGCACGAAGCCGAACCAGGCAAACCGAGAGACCAACGCGTCTTCCGAACGGAGTTTCAGTATCCGTGGCTACTCCGAGTTCTCGCTGCATCATGAAGGCGACTCCGAGGCGTCCGTCATAACCAACGATCGATACTCAACCAACGACGGGTATTCCACGAGCGACAGATACTCGATGTCGTCTCGGCTCTCCAGTGAAGTCGGACGCAGCAACTCCGGCTGGTTCCAGCGCCAGGCTCCCAATAGTCTCGACAGACACCGCTTTTCGTCCACATCGTCGACTGCTTCGTCAATCGCGGCAAGGAAGCACACTAAAGTGTCGTTTGTCAATCCAGATCTCACTCAAACGTCCAATACAGAGACCGCCGCTGCCACCACCTCACGCACGGACGTCCCAGACTGGTATCGCGTCATTGAGTCCCCGAGCGACAACGACCGATACACCACTGCATCACTTGACAGCGATAATATCAGCAGTGAACGGGAGTCGTTTGAACTGTAGACAAGAAGACATAATTGTTCACCCACATAATCAGGGTATATGAACCTTAAGCAAACAGCTAAGGCAAACCAAGTAAAAAGCTCTCGACAGTCGAGAGGAATCAGTGTACGCAATAGAGTGGAGAGTGTTTGAGGTTTCAATGCAAAGTACTACCTTTTAGTCACAAACCTCCCAACGATAAGACGACGCATTATCGTTGCTTGTCATCGTCACGCTTCCGATACTGTTTCTTCTCTAAAGACTTGGCGCGTACTTCCAGCACAGCACCGGACGGGAGATCAGCGAGCCGGTAAGGCCCATACTGAACGCGAATCAACCGCTTGACCACCAATCGCACATGAGCCAGAGCCTTTCGGACCTCGCGGTTCTATAAGGAGAAAATCGCGTTAGATTAGATTAGGACAAATAGGTCCTCACTAAGCGGCACTGCGTACCTTGCCCTCCGTGACCTTGACCTGCAGCCACGAGTCCTTCTTGTCGGTGGACTGTACCGTCACTTTGATGGGTCGATACTTGACGCCGTCCACCAGTGGCCCTCGCTTCAGTTCCTGCAGTTTGGACTCGGCCACGTTGCCGCGTACCAGTGCACGGTATACGCGAGTGACGCCCGTCTTGGGGTGTTCCAGCCCCCTCGCATAGTCTCCGTCGTTGGTGAAGAGCAGTAATCCCTCAGTGTTGAAGTCAAGTCGGCCCTGTAGAAGTATCAGCCATTTAACTCCAATAGTCCACTTCTACATTTTCGTGTAGCCACTTACCACCGGCATCATGTGCTGCGTGAGGCCCATAACCCGCAGTCGGTCGAAGATCGTGGCTCGGCCCTGTGGGTCGCTGTTGGTAACCAGTTCCTGCACATTCCACACAAGTGTATGTAAGCCCTCTGACGCCCATCTTTCGTCCTTGTCTGCGTCTACCTACTCCCTTCATCTTGTTGGCCATCCAGACTTTAATCTTCTGCGTCTTGGTCAGCACACGGCCGTCCACCGCCACTACGTCCTTGTCCACGTCCACCGTCGTAGCCACATCGGCCACTACGTGTCCGTTCACCGTCACATCAAAGCTCTGGATGCGTTTCTCGGCCTCCCGGCGAGAGCACAGGCCCGACATAGCGATGCGCTTGGCCAGCCGCACTGTAGATGAACCACCAGCGGTCTTTACATCGCCTAAGGTGGCCTTAATGCTGTCGGAAACGACAGCACCTACCCTGGGTTTGGTCTGCTTGAGTGAAATTTCAGGACGCGTAAACTTCTTGATGGTTAGCACACCGCGGCGCTGGCCGACGGGGCCAAGAGCCTGTAGGCGCTGCACAAGCCGCTCCACTCGTAACATGCTGGTCAAGTCAACTTGTGATACCGTGAATTTCTATAACTTCCTAGAAACCTTTTAAAACCGCTACAAAAGTGTTGATGATTTCTACCACATCACTACGTGGCAACTTGCCGAAGAATTAGAGTGATGCTGCAGCAGCAGGTGGACGAAGTGAAGCGCCTGTGGGCCAACAAGCGGCAGCTGGCCCACCAGGGCCTGAACCTGGCCATGGTGGTGCTCACGGCGCTCATGATCTGGAAGGGGCTCATGGCCTACACGCAGAGCGAGTCGCCCGTCGTTGTCGTGCTCAGTGGCAGTATGGAGCCGGCATTCCAGCGTGGCGACATCCTGTACCTGGACAACACGGTGCGTGCGTGCTTAACGCTGAGGCTAAAGGTATATATTTCTAACTGGAACTTCGTTGTGGCTCGAGCGCAGAAACCGCAGCTCGAGATCGGAGACATTGTCGTGTACAAAGTCAAGGGTCGAGACATCCCAATCGTTCATCGAGTGCTAGAGCTGCACGAGCGGTCAGTCACGTTACCTAGATATCGACATAGTGGAAGTGCTTGTATGCCTAACTTAGGGGTCTTGATGCTTATTGGACTGCAGGGCGGAAGACGGATACCAGGTCTACCTCACCAAGGGCGACAACAACAACGTGGACGATCGGTACGACTGCAGTGGCAATGGCTGTATCATTCAAGAGATTTTAACGGTGTAACTTGTCGTGATACTTTACAGTGGACTATACGCATACGGCCAATCGTGGCTCGAGCGCGAGGACATCGTGGGCATCGCCAGAGCGTACGTCGTACAACATGAACCTTTCCGCTGTCCGTGTGACTGATGACTCACGTGTTGCTGTCTCGCCGTGTAGATCGGTCCCGTACGCTGGCATGCTGACTATTCTGCTGAACGACTACCCGGTGCTCAAGTACTTATTGGTAGGAGGGATGGCCGTGCTGGTTTTGACCCAGAGAGAATGACACGAGTAATGATAGAAGGAAGACAAGACTCAAGACTGGTGAGTCATGTGCAACATGAAATACTCATTTGGTCGCTGCAACAGCGTTTCATTTTCGAAAAAAAAGGTGGTGGTGGTGGAGTAAGTGTAAACTCTGAACTCCTTAAACTTATTGTTGCTCGTAAGCGGGGGTTGGTCTCGTGGCGGTGGGCATGCCACCGGACAGCAACGCACTCATCGGTAGCGCACTGCTGCCGACGGGCCCGTTGGTGACCTGCTCGTGGTTGTTAGTGTGCCCTGTAGCGGCAGAAGCCTGACTTCCACTGGCCTTGTGCTTCTTCGACTTCTGCTGCTCCAGGTCATAAATATCAGGCACGTCGATGTGGTCAGGAGCGAGGCCGTTCTCGTGGCGCTCCCAGGCCATACACAAGCCCGTCTCCAAGTTGCGCACCCAACGCTGGGTGTCGAACAACGGACAGTGGAGACGCTCGTCTTCCAGTCGCCGTCGCAGCTCCCAAAGTCTGTCCATGTCGCTGGCCAGCGCCACCGCGAGCTCCTCGTATTCCTCTAGCGAATTCGTGATCAGCTCGCTCATGTTGGCAGCACGCAACAGACTGGAAGCCACGCGCGTGGCCATGCGGTCCTTAGGCATCGTCACCATTGGAGTGCCGCCCCATAGGATGTCGCATCCGGTCGTGTGAGCATTGCACTCGGGTGTGTCCAGGAACAGGTCGGCCAGGTACCCTCGCTTGAGATGCTCGTCCTTGGGGGCCACGTCCGTGAAGATCAGACGCGTCTGGTCCTTGACGCCGCGTGCACGAGCCTCCGCACGGATGTTGGCCTCAGCGATAGGCGGGAAACGCAGCAGCCACAGCACCGAGTTGGGTACGCGCTTGAGGATGTTCATCCACGTCGTGAACGTGACGGGGTCGATCTTGTAGACCTGATTAAAATTGCAGAAGACGAACTTGTCCTCGGGCACGCCATAGTCAGCTCGAGTCGGACACTTGTCGGTGTCCAGCACGTCGCGCGCCGACTGCTTGTGGTCGTTGACAAAGTACGAGTGCGGCATGTTGATCTGTTTCTCTGTGAAGTACCGTCGATACTCTGGAGGCACCACCGTAGCATCGCCCACCATGTACTGAATATAGTCGGCACCCAGCGTGCCACAGAAACCCATGTAACTCACTTGAACAGGCGCAGGCTGGAGCGCAAAGATCTCGTTGCGCGCGCCTTTCGTGTAGCCGTTAAGGTTGACGAGGATGTGGATGCCGTCGGCGTGGATGGTGCGCGCGGCGTCGCCGTTCGACAGCGCGCAGATGTCCACAAAGTGCTCGACACTAGTGGAGATCTGTTTGCGCCAGATCGAGCCGTCATCGGGCGACGTCGCGTAGCAGAAGACCTCGTACTTGCTCTTGTCGTGCATGCCGAACACACTCTGCATTAGGTGCGCCAGCGGGTGGTTACCCAGGTCCGACGACACGTAGCCAATACGCAGTCGCTCGGACGCGCGTTTGCTCTTGAAGCGCATGGGCGGCAGGTCCACGAGACTCACGTTGAGCTTGGCGCGCTCGGCGTATCGTCGCGAAATGTCCTGGAAGCGCTGCATCGACAGGGGATACACCAGCGCGTGGAACGGCTGGACAGACGGTAGCACGTCGTCCACACTCAGTTGCTCGTCCACAAAGCGCTGCAGCGTCTCCGTGTCCTGCTTACGGGACTGCCAGTCGCAGATGAACACCATCGAGTGGAAATAGTTGGCGAACGCATCTGGGAAGTGCGGCCGTAGCGCCAGAGCCTTCCGGTAGCACGTGATAGCGTCGTCCAGTCGACCGCCGTCCTTGTACGCACTGGCCAGATTACTGTAGGCATCGGGGAATTGCGGTTTGAGACGGATAGCCGTCGAGTAGCACTGGATAGCCTCCTCCAGACGACATAGATCTTTGAATACGTTGCCCATATTGCTGTATGCATCGGCGAAGTTGGGGTCAATCGTGATGGCCTGCTGGTAGTGGGCCAGCGCCTGATCCAGCTTGCCCTGTTCCTTCAACACGCTGCCGATGTTGCTGTGTGCAGCTGCAAATTGCGGCAGTAAACGCGCCGCCGTCGTGTAGCAATGCAAAGCCTCTTTAACCAGCCCCTTGTCCTTCAGTGCGTTGCCCAAGTTGTTGTAGGCGTGCGGGTGGTCCGGCTTGAGTTGCAACGCTGTGCGGTAGCACGTAACAGCCTGCTCCAGATGGCCGCACTCACGTAGAGCATTGCCCAGGTTGTTGTAGGCGTCCGGGAAGTTCGGCTCGAGCTGGATGGCATGACGGAACGTGTGGATGGCCAGCTCCATTTGGCCTGCGTCGTAGTAGCAGCTGGCCAAGTTGCCATGAGCAATAGCGAAGTTCGGTCGGATCTGTAGCGCCGACTTGTAGGCCTGGATAGCTTCATCCACTCGACCAGCCTCTTTTAGAGCGTTACCCAGGTTGCTATAAGCGTCTGCGAAGTCCGGAGCGAGTCTGATGGCTTCTCTGTAGTGGTCAATAGCGGCCTCGAGCTGGCCGTCGTCCTTTAGCAGGCCAGCCAAGTTGCTCCAGGCAATGGCAAAGCTCGGTTTGACGCGGATGGCCTGTGCGTAGCAGTGCTTGGCGTCGGCCAGACGGCCCTGCACCTTGTACAAGTTGCCCAGGTTACTGTGCGCGTCCACGAGCTGCGGGTCCAGCATGATGGCCATCTTGTACGTCTCCACGGCCTCGTTGTTCTGGCCCAACAGCATGTAGCAGTTGGCCAGGTTGTTGTACGCATCGCCGAAGCGCGGGTTCAGCTTGATTGCGCGAATGTAGAACTGCACGGCGCCGGCCACGTCTCCGAGCTCCTTGAGCGCGTTGCCCAAGTTGCCGTAGGCCTCTGCGAAATTGGGCGCCACGCGAATGCACTGCTGGTTGTAGAAGATGCTCTCGGACAGATTGCCTAGCTGGAAGTGCAGTGCTCCGAGCAGCAACAAGTTGTCGGTGCGATACGCGTCCGACTCGTAGAGCTGTTCGCACAGACGCAGTGCTTCCTGGTAGTAGCCGGCCACGTATTGCTGATGCGCCAGATTGAACAGATCTACTCAGCGGCGAGACACGAAGGATGTGGAGTCCACAAACGTGAGCTACGGAGCTGCTGGTGACAAATAACAACAACAACAACTGCAGAGACTTACATGTGAAGCGTTGCTGACTGGCATCTCCGATAGGGTCAGTGGGCGCGAAGGCGGCGTTGCCGGGGCTCTGCAGCGCTGCCGTCTGCGTCTGCGTCTGGTACTGGTACGGATACGCCATGGACTCCGATCCGCTCGTCGATGTCTCTGTATGTGTGTGTGTCTCTCTCTCTCCGTGTCTTTACGTCTTGGTGGCCAACGCTAACAAATAGATGGATGGATGCAAGTAGCAGCTAGCCAATGCAAATGGGGGCCGGTGTCGTTGCCGCGGTCGCTGCTGGGATTGGAAGTGAGGTTGGACTGGGAGCGGGCGCATCCACTGCCCTGTTCGGTTGCTGGCTGCTGGTGCGCCTGCCTGTACCGTGCCGTGTTGAAGCGGGTCGGTCCCCGTTTCTTTTTTTCGACCGCCGTGGGGTGGGGTTCGCCTCCAGACGTCGACGGTCGATAGTCGTTGCCCCCTTCACACCTATCTCGAGCGCAGTCTCGCTCTCTCTCGCAGCCTCCCACACAGGTAGAATCAGCACAAGGCAAGCATACACATGCATCGCATTGGTGCGAGCGCCATACTTTGCAGTCGTCAGTTTTTTCGCCGGCCATGCGTTGGCTTTCTTAGGCAAAGCCTGGCAAAGGGCAGATGGGAATGCCCTAACCGCCATCGCAACGACAGGACCGACGCTCAACGCCCGAAACGTGCGACACGGTGTGTGAATCTTCCCGAATGCGGCGGCGATGGCAACCCGCTCATGAAGTGATGATGATGACAAGCGCACCAACCAACGCAAGCGTTAAGGCTCCACGTAAAAGCTAGCTAGTGATGGGGTGAGTACGACACTGACGGTGAGAATGGCATGTACGCGAGGGCGAAGAATCGCGAAGGCGCTGGCTGCAGTTCTCTCTCAAAGCCTGTGAAAATGTTCGAGGCCATCCAACCTAACCCTAGCAACAACACTCAAAGCTTCTCCTTCATCGACTGCTGGCTGCATCGCTGGATGCTTGGAGCGAGCAAGCAACTCCCGCCTGGTCTTCCTCCCTAATGCTGCTTTCCCTCTGCCCTGCCAGTCAGTGAGCTGGCTCCTTGACACACCCTCGCTCGCAAAGTGAGCTTGGCTCCCTATGGGTGCGGCTTTCTGATTGCCATCGCCGCGATCTCATTTCACAGTTTGTGTGTCATACTTTTGCGTGCTCCCCCCAAAACTCGTCCTGTACCCGAAACATGGTACTGCACGGGGCAGCCATACCGAGTTCAGCGGGGGTAGCCACATGACTGTAGCCATCTCGCCGCGCGAAACAGCCGCAGCTGAGCGATTTGTCAGCTTTAGTGAAGGGTATCACTACCTTTGATTTTTCACAAAAAGACACGAGGATCGCACTTGGTTTCAATAAAAAAAAATGCTGAAAGAAATTATTTTAGTTAAAGCAATCTTAATGTAAAATCCACGCAGATACATATTGTGGCCTACGATATGTAGGTTGAAATATGCCGATTGGAACGCTCCGTTTACAAAATTTCTGCTCAAGGAAAAACAATTTTAATTAAAAATTCTTTTCCGTTGCTTTTGATAATTGGTAGAACTTTGTGTGACTACAGTTCTTTAATGCAGCCCAATGTGTGTGTAATCTTGGAGAAATTAATATAATTTAGAGGGGTTTTACTTTAATTCAAAAACGTAAATTAAAATTTCCAATATTACACACAATTTGGGCTGCATTATAAGGCAGAGCTGTACTCCTGGATTTCGTAGTCAAAACAAGTGGAAGCTATTTACTTCCAGACTAACAGTAGATGAAGAGCTACAAATGTAAAAAGGAATTCTTGGTTCCATAGAAAAATGGAGCAAATACGGCTATCTGGCCGATAAACCCAAAATTGGCCATTCCAAATAGCATTAGTCTTGATATGTCCTTGGCTCGCAGAGGGACGTAAAAAGATTTAAGAGATGTCTTGGCTTGCAGAGGACTGTTCTCTCTTCTGGTTAAATGAAGACTAATATTTGTTTTGATTATTTGGTTCTGTGTCTTGTCCCCCAGCTTGGGAGACAAGAAACTAGAAAAGAGAGAATAGGAAAAATCTGCTAACGCAAGCTGCCGACATCAATATGCCGACGTACTTGTCACTCGCCCCTATGTTGGTTGCCACGTAACATAGAAAGATCCTGTGAATGTTAATTCTCTCCTGTATCACACCTTTGCCGATGGTCACAGTGCACTTCCGTGATCGCAAATGGTCCGTTGGCCACGCTTCTGTGCTTGCTCTTCCTGTCCTTTGCAGCAATACGTACCATAACTCGATCGCCCACATGATAAAAATGCTGTAATCTATCGAGATTGACTCGATCATTCTCGCGCATAATTGCTTCAAAGCGACGCTTGCATAAGTAGTTCCAATTGGCTTCGTAGAGCTTGCGAGTTATCAGATCTTGGCCAAAGATCAGCTGAGCAGAAGTAGTTCCTAGGATCGTATGGTAGCTTGTACGAGCCGAAAATGCAGCACACTGCAGTACATTGCGCTAATCAATGTCGGGGTTACACCGGATACAGTTACTCAGTACCAAGTGTACTCACTCGCAAATTGCATTGGCATGTGGATTCTTGGCTGATATTGGCTTTGGTTCCACTGCATAGCTCGCCAGCATTTCTCGGAACTCGCTGGTGTTGAATTCGTTTCCCCTATCGAAAACAACCGTCTACGTTATAACCATGTCATGTCGAAGTTTTCCGCTGTCGTCTTGCCCTGGTTATTCAGCTGTACCGCAACTTCAAGCCAACGAGTTGCTTCGTCAACTACTGTAAGCGCGTACTGGCGATCACGACCGTACGGACCAATAGTGTCCACATGTACCACATCAAATGGATCCACTACGTGCATGTCCCTCGGCGGTAGTTTGCCATAGGCTTGTGGTCCTCCATGCAATTTAGCCCGCTTGCAGGTATTGCACTTCTTGCAGTAGTTCACTATCGTCTTCTCCATACCGGGTCAGTAAAAGACACCTCGCATCGTGTGAAAATGTCGCTTTGCTCCAGGATGCACCAGGTTCAAGTAATACCATTCCACTATTTCCGATCTCAGACCCTTAGGAATCACCACTCACTTCTGAAAGGTTAATAATCTCGCGTTCTCAATACGATAGTCTGGATCTCCTGTGCCATTCAGACACGTCTGGATTAATGTTTGCACTAGTTCGTCTTCCTGCTGGTACTGCTTGATGTAATCACTCTTCAGCACACACTCCCCTGGGTCGATGAACAATGCCTCCACCTGATCTGTGTTAGTATCGTTCGATCCGGACTTGCACTCCATCCGTGAGAATGCGTCTGCCGCGATGTTGCTCTTTCCCGGTATGTATTCACACTGCAGCCGGTACTCAGCTAGCAGCAGCTTCCATCTCTTCACCCGCAATGAGTTCTCCGTAGGGTAGATAAGATTCTTATGGTTCGTGTGAACCACAACAGGAAAGCCTAACAGCATTGTCCTGTACTCCTTCAGGATCTCCACTACCGACAACAACTCCGACTCCATCGTTGTGTAGTTCTGCTGTGCTTCCGTCAACGTCCTCGAAAAACAAGCTATTAACTTGCCTTCTTGCTGGATCAGCCCTCCAAGCTGTTTACCACTTGCATCCGCATAGATATCGAACGGTTTTGAAAAGTCCGGAAATGAGAGCTATACAGATTCTGCTAAAGCTTTCTTGATTGCTTCAAATGCTTCATTTCCGTAGATGTCCACACAAAGGTTGCCTTCGGTGACGTCATCTTCGTGAGTGGCTTCAAAAGCGCAGACTTGTTTGGAATCATCTCTCTGTAGTAGTTGATGAGCACCAAGAATCTTCTTAGCTGCCTCTTAGTCTTCGGAGCCGTCAGTCGGGTAATAGCAATGATCTTCTTCTCCTGCGGCTGTATGCCATCGGCACTTAGATTAAATCCCAGGTATTCAACTATCTTACAGAAGATATGGTATTTCTTGCCATTTAACGTAACATTGTATTCCTTCAAGCGCTCAAAAACGACGCGCAAGTGCTCCACGTGATCCTCCGCGGTCTTTGAGAAGATAAGGATATCATCCAGATAGACTATAACGAAATCCAATCCTCCTAGGATCTTTATTATATAGGCTTGGTGCTCGTCTGGGGCCGTAGATATCCCCATCGGCAGTCTTTTATACTGGAACTTCCCGAACGTGGTGCAGAATGCCGTATACTTTCGTCTTTTTTTCTAGCGATTTGCCTCGCATAGTAGCCCATATTAGCATCCAACGACGCGAAATACTTAGCTCCGCCTAGCTTCGCCAGCACTTCTCGGATGAGCGGGACGTAGTACGGATGTCTCTTCAAGAACTGATTCAGTACTCGAAAGTCGGTCAGCAATCGCAACCTTCCATCCGGCTTCTTCAAAAAGAAAGCAGGCGAGGCCATCTCCGAGTCAAATATTTCTTCTAGTACATCCAGCGCAATAAACTTGTGTATTTCCTTATAGGCAGCCTCTTCTTCAGATCTTGAATCGAGTAGGGTCTAGCGTGCACCGGTTTAAAACTTTCGGTCACCGGTAGTACGTAGTCTGGCATCTTCATCTTTCCTAAGTGCTCTTTGTACAGCGTTTCAAACACATTAAGCAGCTTGACTACCTTCTCGTAAGTTACTTGGTCGATCTCCTCATCGCCAATCATTTCCTTCGGCTTCACTGAGGTATCGTTGATCTCTTTCACTTCCTCCGCGATCCCAACTTCCTTAAGCTCCACAGGTAGTTGCTTCTTTGGCGGTTTATCCGGATTCGACACCTTCTGACCCGTGCTTACGCTCACTGTGTTTCCATTCCACTCGACCATCCCATCTCTGAAATTCACTATGATACCAAGCTCACTCAGTAAGTCCCGGCCAATCACCATTCCATCTCTGGTGTTGCCGATCACCTCGAACTGGTGTGTAATTCGAGACCCATAACTCAACTCCATGAACCGAAATTGCACTACCATTTTCCCTTCCGACTGAAGTGTACCGTCAACTTATTCGAATTGCATCGATGACGATGTTTTCTGAAAACCCAGCTTCTTGTTCGCACTCAGAAGCTTAGAGTTGATGTAACTCGTGCCACATCCTGTGTCCAGCAGTGCCACCCGACGTCCTTCGTCTTGGACAATCTCATCCGTAGCCGCATCGGACTGCCTACTCACCGAGCTCTCTTTCATCAAGCTTGTAATCATCTTGCCTTCACTATCATCACTGTAGCTGTAGTCTGGCTCTGCTTCAACCACACGAGTCAACTTACCAGCCTCTGTCTTCTTCTTCAACTTCGACTTCTGGTTGCCACTCTGCTCATACTTCTTTTGAGTAAAGCACTCACTGTCGCTGTGCGAGGAAGTATTGTGCAGCTTACACCATTTCCCGTTTGGGTCTGGGCTACTCTTTTCAGGAGTCTTAAAGTTCTTGTTATTCCCCTTACTATTGCCACTTTTACCGGAATTGCCACCTTGTTTGCCTGACTTATCGGTTTTCTGCTTTCCTCCTCCGTGCTCCTTCCCTTGTCGTCGCTCGGACTGCTCAATCCGCTCAAAGTACTGCACGGTCTGTGGCATGCTGCTGAAAGCGATGCCGCTGTACTCGTAGGCACGTTTCCACTCCTTTGGTATGGGCCTTTTAGAATACCGGATCATCGACTTGTCATCCAGGACCATGGGGTTCGTAGGCAAGTCATGCAGCATGCGCGCGATCTCGCGCATACGCTGGTTGCACTGAGATACCGTCTCACTTCTTCGCTTGGTAAACATGAATAACTCTTCCTCTAACTGTTCACTGTAGGTGCGCGGTACGTACATGCGCCCCCAGCGTCTGTAAGCCTTCGCGAACTGCGTCCCGCTGTTCATGTCCAAGTCATCTGAAGCTGTTATCCAAGCTTCCAGAGCTTCATCCTCTAAAACCAACTGCAAGTGCAAATCCTTTTCGTCCGATTGCCACTTCTTCAGCTGGCACAGGCGAGTAAACTGGTGACTCCACTTCAGCCAGTCCTTAGCTGTTCCGCCACTAAAGCGAGGGAGCGTAACCTTTATGTACTCCCTGTCCTCATCATCCGTCTTCTCACGGGTAGTAACTTGGAACACCACATCCCTACTGGTGCTCTTCTTGTCCTCCATCGTAATCTTCACGTTCTTCACCACTTGGTTGTTCTTCACCACTTGGTTGTTCTTGAGCACTTCACTGATCTTCAACTCTTGTGTGAGCTTCACCTTGTAGGTTGGGCCCTTCACCTCTGAACTAGTTCAGAGTGATATGCCCTTGGCTCGCAGAGGGACGTAAAAAGATTTTAAGAGATGTCTTGGCTTGCAGAGGACTGTTCTCTCCCCCCATCTTTGGCGACAAGAAACTAGAAAAGAAATAATAGAAAAAATCTGCTAACGCTGGCTGCCGACATCAATATGCCGACGTACTTGTCAATCTCTTTCGAGGATGTCAAAGACAGCTTCGGACCCGGTCGTGTACTTGATGAGGTCAAACTGCTCGCTGTACACGGGCCGGTCCCCTTTGTACTTGATTCCTGAAGCATCGACCCATGCACGTTCTTGGTCAAGGTGAATGCGCTCAAACGCGACGGCAGTATTCGGGCAACCGGTTCAAGCGCAAAACCCTCGAAGTCGTTGCGGCCCTCGCATCTCAGGACTTGCTCCACTTGTCCGTCGGGCATCCCCATTAAACCAGACCTACTCGGTCACTCGTAAGATCAGAAATCAAGACAAGGGGCTCGCACAACGGAAAGAGAGAGCTAACGCACCAGCGGACGTACCGCCACACACACCGCCTCCAGGCGCTCCTGCGGGTGAATCTCCAAGATCTCCAGCGGAAGAACCTCCGAGCGTTCCAGCGGACGTTTCGCCAGCCGTCACGCCATTCGATCCGCCGACTTCATATGGTGTTCCGCTGAATACTCCGCTGCTCCCAAGTTCTGGGATGTACTCGGCGGCTCCCAGTCCGAGGCTTGCAAACTCGCTGCTGTCCTTACTGATCAGCTGTCCGGCCCTCGACCTGCAATGACGAGTTTTCATCGTGGTTGTCCAACGCGAGATTGAGCGGCTCCAGATGCGCGGCAACGACACCGCGACTACGAAGAAGATGCAGCTGCTGCTGCAACTCCGCTTGAAACTGTGCGCTATGCAACAGGAGCAAGTAGGCTCGAGCTCGGTTGACTGTGAGCGCGTGTAGTTGGCATAGTGTGAGGTGATCGACTAATCAGGTTAATTAGGTGAAAGTATCGAATACTTTTCAGACTTTTGACACAGCACAGCTACTCTTTTGATACACACAAGACTACGACGTGTTCAACGCTGCTCAACTGGGCTAGGATGTGACGTTCATCGGCAACAATGGTAGCATGAAGAACGGCAGCACGTTCATATCAACCTAGCGCTAACACAATTTCAGTGTTTATTACCATGATGTGGGCTAAACTCACTGCCGAGCTCGGCGCTCAGCTCGAAGCCGCACTGTGCGCTGGCGAAGGAGTTTGACGAGGTCTACGTCCCTAGCGATGGTGCGTTGTACACGTAGCTCCTACACGTAGCGTTCTAAAATATCGTAGATGAGTTCAGATCCCTCGGTGTACTTGATGAGCTCAAACTGCTCGCTCTACACCGAGCGATCCCCTTTAAACTTGACCCCAGTTGCATTGAGCCACACCCGCTCTTGCTCGAGCTTGATACGATCGTGCGCCACGACCATTACTTGTGGCTGCCCTTCGAGTGCAAAGTCGTTGCGTCCTTCCCAGCGCAGGACCTGCTCAGCCTGAGCGACCGTCATCCTCCAGAGGCCTTCGTCCTGCAACCCGTCGTCGTCGACTTCCCCGTTCTCCGCAACACCAGCACCAGTAGCTGGAGCTCCAATAGCACCTTGAGCTCCAACAACACCTTGATCCCCCGGCGGTGGCTGTAAATGCAGGTCTACAGTCTGCGTTTGTCCTTCCGTATGGTAGCGTACACGGGCTTCAGCGTCCGAAACTTATTGTGGAGCTCAGACTCTAGATGCAGCTTCTTGAACTCCAAGGGCATTCCACCCAAAATCATCGCAACGACCTGGAACTCCGCTGCTTCCATTGGGTAGCCGCACCGCTTCAGATGCGACTTAAGCTTCCTCAGCCTATTCTTGAGCAGGTCACTGGGTACATAGAGAGAATAGTGTTTAGACGTTAAGAGTAATACATACATACATACATACATACATACATACATACATACATACATACATACATACATACATACATACATACATACATACATACACAGACAGCACTTACATGGTGACGCCGAATTTGGCCAGGAAGCAGTTCTCCCAGAGGTGCAGATCCTGCGGGCGGATTTGTGGTGTAGCGATTTCTAAGTAATCGCTGAAGTGGCTACATTCAAGTTGCTCAAGCCACGAACGCTCGGTCATGCGACAGGTGGTGACCACGGTGCAAGATGGCCAAGGATACGTCACTACCAAACGCTCGTCAGGTCCGACTATGACCAAGATGTCACTCAAGTCGGGTGGTCCGTATCGGTGAAGCTGGATTCACATTCAGCGGTCAAGAACCGACGGACTACGGTACTACGACTCGGTGACGGTTCGAGCGACTCTTCGGTGGGTGCGACTAGCAGTTGAACGCTCGGCGGAGACCTGAGAAGGCACAAGGACAGTTGAGGTAACTGTTGGCACGTATAGCGATCCATAACGGATCATAGTTCACTTGATATTTGTATACCTAATTAGGATTGCATATTGGGAAGAGCCCGAAAGGGCACCATAAATAACAGAACCGAATTTTCACTCAAGCACACGAGCGAGATCCGGCTTCAAGGTAAGCGTCTGGATAAGCTTGTTTGGATGTGTTATGCCTGTCGGTGGACTCGAAGCTTACTAGCGAGGGTTCATCTGGCAAGGCCAAGTGGGTGTGGGTGTTGGCCGATTGTATATCTGAAGTTTACGTGACGGCTTTATTGTGCGTATTTGCACGTGTTGGGGAGAGCGAGTTGCCTCCCATATATTCTTCCAGCCGAGTGTTGAACACTCGGCGCCCTCGTAAAAGGCTTACCCGTGCCTGGTACCCTTCCGCTGTTGGGACCACGAGGATTCATAACACCTGCTAGTTTTGCTCGCGCTAGTAGCGTGTTCTTATATTATATTTATTAAATCAAGATTTTTTCTGAACTTGGATGGCATTCAGACGAAAAAAAAACATTAAAAATTGATGGGTTTATTTTGTGAATGCCATCCAACGGCCAGAAGAAATTGCCGCCCGAGCCTCTCTGTCCGACTAACCCGAATTTCGCGTTAGTCATGAGGCGCCGATGAATATATCTTGCGTATTGCTTACCCACAAAATGAAGTTTTCAGCTGAAATTGTACGGTAAAAGTTAAGTTTCATCATCTAGCGTGTCAACTCTTTCGATGCCGCTCAACGACTGAAACGTGCGACACAGTGTGCGAATCTTCCCGAATGCGGCGATGGCAACACGCTCATAAAGTATGACGATGACAAGCGCATTCATGCTTGCTTTAGAGCCGTCTACTCACTCAATGTTCCATCTATCTCGGTTTCGGTCAGTCAATCGACAGTTCATTTGTTGATTCGGTGGGAGTGGACAGACAGCGCATTCGAATAATCCTGTTTGGGTTGTTTTTTAATCCTGTTTGGGCTGTGATATCCAGTACTCGTCGCTTCCTATTCTGGAAGAATACTGCGTTGTATATTTAAAGAAAAACTACTACAGAATCAATAGAATAGAAAGCCTTTGTTTAGAAATAATTAATTATTAATTACTGTAATAAAATGATTGCATTATTGGGTTTATGCGATATTAATTGTTGAGAAGCCAGAAACAAGTTTCAGAAGCCGCTATCTGTTCCGACCGGCATGGCTCTGCACGACGGGCTCGTGAACTGGCCGCTCTTCTTCGGATGCATCCTGGTGGGCTTCGGTCCGCTGGCCGCGCTCTTCTTTGTGGTGATAGCTAAGCGTGCGCAGCTGGTGATTCTGGCGCTGAGTGGCGCCTTCGTGTGGCTCGTTGCCATCCTCGTGACGGCGACACTTTGGCAGATCATCCCTCCCCTCAAGACTTCGCTATCGGCTACAGTTCCTGTGAGTGTCGTAGTGCAGGAAGCCTTCCGCCTGGTCTTCTTCTACCTCTACACACGCACCGAGCAGGCCGTCAAGCGCGTAACGACGTCTTCGCACCAGCTACCGCTCAATGACATCACGTCGTCACTCGCAGGCGGCGTGGGCTTCTCCGTCATGCACGCGCTGCTCATGTTCGGCAGTCTCGTGGGATCGTCCACAGGCTCACGTGGTGCCGCCTTCTCGGCTTCTTGTGAGAGCATCCCGCTGATCTTCTCGGCCGCCATCTCCACACTGGCACTCACGGCTTTGGACGTTGCTCTTATGGTCGTCGCCTTCGACGGCTATCGCAAACGGTCCGTACTGGCCGTCGGCGCCGTGTTCGTCATCCACATGGGTGTCGCCCTGTCGGTAGGTGGTCGTGGCACTCAATTCCGTTCCATTCTCTTAGTGCAGGCTTTAATTGTTGCTTTTAATTCGATGCTGCTAGGCGCTGGCCAACATGGAAACCAACGGCTGCTACATCTCCATCCCAGTACACTACGCAGGTGCGGCCTTGGCCTGTGCGGGCGCCACAACGATCGTATGGCGCTCCAAAAGACTCGCTGTGGACGCCAAATAAACAGATCGACAAACGTGCACAAGCCTCTCGGACAGTGCCGTCTACCTAGCTAGTGGATCGGATAATGCGCGAGGTCCTCGCTTTTTTTTTCACGTGTATATTGTCTGCTATTGAGTCTCTTGACGTGTCAGCCACGAATGAAGCAGTAGCAGCTATTTACTTTCATGCTCAGGCCTGTGAGAGTCGCTGGTCGACTGGCACGTGTTGACGGCAAGCTTCCTTGATCGCCTCCTCATCCACGGTCCACACCTGCGTCGCCTTGTGCCAGCGATAGAACTGCTCGATGCCCTGCTCGTACAGCATCTCGTAGCCCTGGATGCACAACGCACCTCCCGCTGCATGGGCGTGTGCTAGCATCGGCGTGATAGGAGGCATGTAGGCAGCATCCAGCACCACTACCTTGCTGCCGTCTGCTCGTGGAGCCACGAGGTGCTCAGGTAGCTGGAAACCAGCCTGTGCCGGGATCGTGCCTACAACCACATCCACCTGGGCAAGTGACTCAACTGTTAACTCCGACAAGGCCTCAGCGTCGAAGCGCACAGCCACGGCCTGAGCCTTCTCGAGTGTGCGGTTAAAGATGAACAACTTGCCGACGCCCAGCTGACGCATCGCGTACGACGCCGCCATGGACGTACCACCAGCGCCAACCACAAGTGCCGTCAACTCATGCGCAGGTTTGTTGACGCCGAGTGTGGCCAACCGCTTGCTAATGGGACGTAAAATGCCCAGCCAGTCCGTGTTGTCGCCCTTCCAGTACGGCGCGCCGTTGCGGTCTTGACGCATGATCGTGTTCACTGCACCGATGGCCTGTGCAGCTGGCGACAACTCGTCCAGATGCTCCATGATGTCTACCTTGAGAGGAATCGTGACGGAGCCACCACCGAAGTTCGTGTCAAACGCTTGCATGCGCTTCACGATCTCCAAAACGTCCGTGGTGTCGTGCAGTCCGTAAGTGAAGAGCGAGGTCAGTGACGTGGATGCGAAGCCAGCGTTGTGCATCGCTGGTGAAGGTGATTTCTGGATCGGCGACCCAAACAAGAAGAACTCGCGCGCTGATGAAGCAGCAAAGCAACAGACAAAGAGGAGAGTAGTGAGATCATGCGCATTAACGGAGCTCATAAGTCTACGAGTTTAGATACCTGGGAGCAGTCCAAGCTGTTTGCGCAGAGTCATGATCTCCTCGACTGAGAGCTGTCCGGGCGCCGCCGCAGCAGGCAACATCGGGTGCGTCACCGGCGTGAGCGTGCGGTTCAGAACACGCGTCAACTTGCCAGCCTCGGTGGTGCACAGCGAAATGATCGGCATCTGCTGCTGCCAGGCCGTTGCAAAGTCCTTCGCTACGCGGTCAACCATGAGCGCATCGGCAGGAGAATACGCCTTGACCACCACCTTGACGATCTGGAC